ACCTGGGTCTGCACTTTCACAAGGCAAGTGACCTTGGCCAAGGCACTTCATCTTCAGTTTTTTCATCTATAAACTGAGGCTGATAATACCCTGTTTGTGGAATTGCTGGAAATATTGAACCAGACAACACAAAGTATGTAGAATAAGAGTACATGGGGCTGGGGTAGAGCACTTGTCTAGCACAGGTGAGGTGCTGGGTTTGATCCTTAGCACCACATAAAAAAATAAAATAAAGGTTACTGTGTCCACCTACAACTAAAAACAAACATTAAAAAAAAAAAAGCACACATTATGGTGACATTATTATTAGAATCGCCCAAGACTGTCTGAGGTCCAGCATCTTGCCTGGCACATAGTAGGTGCTCAATAAAGAAAAGTACTTATTATTAGCACCTACATGTATTTTCATAGCAGAGAATTTTTCTCCTCCTGGTACTAGATTGGAACTAGGGCCTTGGACTTACTAGTCAGGTGCTTTACTCCAGAGCCAGCTCCCCACCCCCCTTTTATCTCCTGAGCCAGGCTGTTTTCAAACTTGTGATCCTCCTGCCTTAGCCTCTAATGCAGCTGGGAACAGGTGTGCACCCTGACACCCAGCCTAGCAGGGGATTTATTGTTGAGAGCCACAGCCAAAGGGGCCCCAGCAAACTTCCAGCTGCCAGCAAACTTCCAGCTGCTGGCTGATGATTGGCTCACAGCGGCCCCAGCAACATCTAGCTGATTGGCTCCTCGGCCCCAGCAACATCTAGCTGATTGGCTCCTCTGCGGTGATGCTCATTGGGCTGTTTCCCTGCCCTTTCAGACCACGGAGCTGCTCATTGGGGGACTTTTTGGCTCCGCCCACGTGACCCAGCCAATCGGCCTCAAGAGCAGGAGGATTGTGGGAGGTGGGGAGAAGCTTGTGTGGGAGAGAGAGGCTTGTGGAAAGGCGGTGGTGGCAGTTGAGGCTCTGAGGGTTTTTCCTGAGAGGCTGTTTTGTTTGGCGTGTGTGGTTCTAAAAATAAAGTTAGTTACTTTTGACAAGTGGCTCCTGATTGTGCCCAGCCAGACTGCGGCAATTTATAATGTCACAAAAACAATGAATTGAAAAGCTGGTAGCTTGCATACCACTTCTCAGGTGTTCATCTCTTACCACTGTGTTAGAGTCTGTAAACAAGTCTGGATGGCGCCTGGCATTTTGCCAGAGGGAGTGGTTTGTGAAGTAACGCCAGTGAGTCATTAAGTGTGGAGATTCCTTATTGGTTGACTGCTGAATCTAGTTTATGTTAATTAAGATAAGCTGTGTGGAATGTATATATACGTCTCCTGTCCTACAATAAACGGCTCCCACTCCTGCTGTATGAATCTACACAAGTTGTTTGTCATCCCCCCGGTTATTTTGCTGCAGCCGGACTGCGGCACCACTGCCCACAGAAACCCTTTAGACTGGGAGTTGGCTGTAATCCCGGCCTCTCTCATCAGTGAGGTGCCCATTGTGCGAATTCATTTATTCGAGCCCTGTGCTAAGGTCCTCGGAATACCATGGTGAAAGAACAGGCCATGAAGTTCATATCACATAACCTCTCAATAAGTATTTGTGCAGCAAATATTGGCTAGGGATGCAGAATTAAAGGGGAAAAAGATAAGACAAATAAAGAGGTAAATTGCAGGAAAAGATGAAAGTACTATTTACAAAGGGAATCACACAAAGAATGATGGGGGCACACACAAGGCAGGTAACCCCAACTTGAAAGACTGAGAGAGCTTTCCCAAAGTGGTTTTGTCTCGTTACATTAAAGGATGAGCAAGAGTTAAGTCTGGGGGAGAGGCAAGCAGTCCATGTACAGAAATCAACCACACATTTGCCACCATTTACGGGGCCTTTCCTATGTGCCAAGCACTGCAGATGCATCATCTCAGTAACTTCCCAACCTTATAAGAGGAAATTCAGGTACAGCAGGATGTAAACAGTATGCTCAAGTTCTTACTGCTAGTGAGTGGAAATGGAGACAGAGAAGCAGATTTGTCCACCAAAACTGCAGGAAAAACTGCAGTTCTCCGTGTTCAGAGGTAAGTGGGTAGGGTGTAGTTTGGCCTCTACCTGTGGGAAGTGGAGAATGGCAAGAGCACTAGGGAGAAACAGGCAGGGAATGGGTGACCAAATACATGGATTTTAACCTTTCTTTGCTTTGGTTTTCTTTTTTTAATTTTATTTACTTATTTAGTTAGTTGTAGTTGGACATAATACCTTTATTTTATTTGTTTATTTTTATGTGGTGCTGAGGATCCAACCCAGAGCCTCGAACGTGCTAGGCAAACGCTCTACCACTGAGCCCCAGCCCCAGCCCTTTGCCTTAATTTTCTTTAGCAGCACCGTGAAGCCTGGATCCCTTCTCAGAATGTTTCAGGTCATAAAATGCAACATACTGACTTATGGAAAACCCCAATAACGCTGAAATTTAGCTATCTTAATAGTAAACAACCAAATTTATGATATTAGTGCATATGCTTCTTTATTAATGCAGATCTTTATTAAATAAGATCTAGTAATGGGTCTAAAATTCACTGTTTTTTAAAGCAAGGGGATGAGTATAAATGACCTCTTTCCAACATACTGTGAATAAGAAAAATATTTTTATATATGGACAAAGATTGTAATGCAATTCGAAAATCTGGTAATTCATGTTGTAACAAAGTAACAGGTATCGTCAAAGCAACTGTAACTTGTTGCTCATGCGCACGACAGAAAGAGCTGCTACATTTTAGTTAGGGGTTAATGAAAATAAAGATGCAATATTTTTTGCCACTTCAAATACAAGGACCCTAAGGATTCTAACCACGATTATGTTGAGGGATTTCAGATTTAATCCCAGGGCACTAGAGAGCCGGTCACACAAGGTCTCAGAGACGTGGACAGAGCTCGTTGGCGTCCAGAGGGTGGGGAATGCACTGCAGGCGCGGAAAGGCTGGACGCGAAAATGCAGGGAGCGGGGCTGCCAGTCCTCTCAGAGAGGAGGCTGTAAGGATGCCCTGCAGAAAATGCAGTCGAGAGACATTGAGGTGTCTCAGTTTCTCCCGCTGGGACCACGGAACGACCCTCCCTACTGCACCTTGAATGGGGACTCCCTCCTCACCACCCATGCTCTCAGGTCCTATGGGAAGAACTCACGCCCCACGGACAGCCTCCCAGAACACACCCCCTACCGGCTCGTGGTTTCTCTGCTCCCCGCGGGTGCTGCTCCAGCTCCCAGGCCGGCATCGCAGCCTCACGGCACCGCGCCAGCTCCTCCTCCTCGCTGCTGCTACTGCTCTCTGAATCGCTCACGGCGCCACCGGGAGCCGCCATCTTGGGCTACCGCAAAGGATCGCGGGAACGCCTCTATTGTGGGCCCGCCCACAGGGCCCCACGTGAGGGTGGAGAAGCGCAGGGCATTATGGGGATTGTAGTCCTCAGATTCAGGCACGCTGTGGGCCCCAAACTGTGCTAGAAGGTGGAGGCTGTCCTCCAACGTGAGCGCGTGAAGAATCCAAGAGATGAACTTCTCCAGTCTTGTCTTGATGAGAAAAATGAGACCCACAAGGCTGAAGGGAATTGCCTGAGGTCACACCACATTCCAACCACGTTCAGGTTTTGATCCCAGGTAGTTTAGACATTATTTATTTATTCCAGTAATTTTATTTTTTTTTAAAGAGAGAGTGAGAGAGGGAGAGAGAAAGAATTTTAATATTTATTTTTTAGTTATCGGCAGACACAACATCTTTGTATGTGGTGCTGAGGATCGAACCCAGGCCGCACGCATGCCAGGCAAGCGCGCTACCGCTTGAGCCACATCCCAGCCCTATTCCAGTAATTTTAAGTCCATCTGTGGGTCAGAATCATCTTAGGGAACTTGTTAAACTGGGGATTTCTAATTCTAACTGAATTAGAATCTTTTTATCAGCTTTGGGGCCCAGAAGTCTGTTATTTCTTCTAATACCTTGGGGCCTTGCTGCTGAGAGCTCAGTTCATGGCCCCGGTAGCAGCAGAATTCTTGGGAGCTTGTTAGAAATGCAGAAAAGTCGGGCTTCACCACGAACCTTCCAGATCAGAATCTGCATTCTGAGAAGCTCTTCCTGTGATTTGTGTGTAAAATGTGAGATGTATTGTCCTGGCTAATTCAGATGGGAAACTCGGCAGTTTTCCAGCCCAGGACTTTTCAAAAAATACTGATTCCCAGCACTGACCCAAGACAGACAAATAAGAATCTCTGTGTCTAAGATATTCCACGGGTGAAAGATAAATCAAAATAAGTTTTGTCTTTTTGGAATGCTTTGTTTATTTCTTAGGATGAGTGTGTCAAAACATCATTCAAACAAATTCTCTGGCCTTGGATTTTCTATCAAAAAAAGAAAGAAAGAAAGGTAACTGCTCTGATCAGAATATTTGTGTCCCCCAAATTCCTGTATTGAAATCCTGACCCCCCAAGGATTTCAGGAGGTGGGGCCTTTGGAAGGTGAGTAGGTCATGAGGGGCAGAACCCTCATGCCTGGGATTAGTGGCCCTCATGAAAGAGACCTCCTCCTCACTTCATCCACCATGTTGTTGAAATTAATTAGTTGTTTATTTTAACATCTCTTCCACCATGTGAAGACACAGTGAGAAGCTGCCATCTAAGAACCAGGAAGAGGTCTTTACCACATAGCAAATCTGTTAGCACCTTGATCTTGAATTTCCCAGCCTTCAGAACTGTGAGAAATAAGCGTTTGTTATTTATAAGCCATTGAGTTCATGGTATTTTGTTAGAGCGACGCAAATGGACTAAGACTGATTTATTCAATAATTCATTCATTCATTTATTTATTTTCGGTACTGGAGATTGAATCCCGGGGTACTTAACCACTGAGCCACATCCTCAGCCCTTTTTAAATGTTTTATTTAGAGACAGTTTCAATCCTGAGGGCTCAAATTTGAGAGGTTCAAATGATTAAATAATACCCATTAGGATAGCATCAGCACCTGTGGAAATGAACGACCACCCAAATGAGAACAGAGGTTGTTTATTCACAACTTTCAGGCACTATCCTTTGCCTTCCACAGAGACTCAGGGCAGGCAGGAGAATGGGAAAGCTTTACAGTGAACCTGACAAATGATGAAGGCTTCAGGCATAGCATGATCAAGCTGGTTATCGCTGGGAAGTTGTAGGTGCCAACTACAAGCAGACTACCTCTGTGATCGGTTTGGGGAGCTCATTTGGTTTTCTCTGGTTGGTCCTAAATGGAAAGTGAGTTCTAGGTGGTGTGGGAAATTAGATAAACGGCAGTGATTGACTTAGTCCTGGACTTGGTTCTGGGTTGGCTGCTGTGGAGAATGTGGGTCAGAGTTTTACTGTCACATAGGATCTGGCCATGGGCCATTTGTATATTTAGTCTCTAGCACCTCTTCCCCTCCCCTACTGGCAGGGCCAGTAGAGCTGTTGACAAAGTCGGTGAAGATGTGGCACCGGGGCCTGGATTAGAAGACAGAGAGGCAGACAGAGAAGCTTCCCGGAGGAAACTAGCTGGAAGGAAACCGAGCTTCTCCTGCCTTCTTCTCGGACAGAGTGAGAGTGTCGCTGTCTCCGACGCCGTAGTAGTCCAGACTGAACCAGTCCTGCAGGACGTGGCCCCGGAACTCCAGGCGCTGCAGCTCCCGGAGCAGGCCCTGCCGGTCCTCGATCTGCTCCTTCAGGCTGCGGACCAGGTGGGCGGGCTGGGCGGCGTAGGCGTGGCTCCCACCGTCCGGGCTCTTCACAAAGACCTGGATCTCGGGGGAGACGGTGTCCAGCAGGCAGACGCTGGTGTGGGAGAAGATCCCGTAATAGGCCAGGGAGCAGTGACTGCGCAGGAGCTGCCGCTCGCCGCCGGGCTCCTGGAAGGACAGGCGCTGGAGGCCCGCGCAGCCCCGGCTCTGTCGGATCTTCTCCTTCATCTTCTTTATGGGCGCGTAAGGGTTCACCCAGAGGACGAGATCGGAGAGACCCCACTGCTGCACCGTCACCTGGATGTCTCTCGCTGACTGCAGGGAGGGGAGGGGGAGGGGGAGGGGAGGGGAGGGGAGGGGAGGGGGAGAGGGAGAGGGGGAGAGGAGGGGAGGAGGAGGGGGAGAGGGAGAGGGGGAGAGGAGGGGAGGAGGAGGGGGAGAGGGAGAGGGGTTATCTTCATGCTTCCCCACGTGCAAAAATTCCCTTCACCTTTTTCTTTGCAAAAGCAACCCAACCAGCAGCAGCAGCAGCAGCAGTAGCAAGCCTTTAGGGAGTCCCGGCCCCTTCCCGGGGCTGCGCGTCCCCTGCTCTAGTCTGAATGCGGTTTTCTTCTTACTGCAACCCTAGGAGGACGGATCTCCCAGGTTTTAGGGATGAAACCATTGTGGCTAAGCAGGGCTAAGTGGTCACTGGATATTAGTTCCAGAGGGAGTAAGGGCCCCGCAGTTCTGGGCAGGAATCTAGGTGGAGCGCTGCAAAGTCTTCTCATTTTTCCAGATAAAAATGTGTGCACAATTTTTTTTTTTTAATATTTAGGAAAAACCCAGAGGCATGTCATTTTCAGCATACCTGTAGGCCTCATGTGGTTGGTGAACCCCTGATTTGCTCTCTGTGCCTTATTATAGAGTCTCTGTTTTTGCTTCTGCCTTCTGCTCTGATGGGTCAGTCTCTCGTTCCTGCACAGAACCTTGCTCATTCCCACATCCCGTCCTTTATCCTTTAGTCTCACTCCAGCCCTCAGTCTAGAGTGTCCTTTGTTCTGAGCCTCTATATCTATATCAGAGCATCCAAACACACAAGGTGAGGTCTTTTGGGTTCACCTTAAGCCCTAGTTCCTTCAAGGAATCTTCTCTGGTAACTTTAAAATCACTTATATTTCCTTTTTTTTTTTTTTGGAGATCTACAAAGTCCTGGCTGTGAATCCTGACTTTGCTGACTCTGAGCAGTGTGACCTCGATTAATTGACTTAACCTCTCTGAGCCTCAGTTTCCTCATGTGTTAAATGGCAACAATAGTGATATTATTATATTATAATGGAGATAATGATAATGTTTGAATTTCCATTTTTTTTTTTTAGAATTGCCCACGAGGATCAACTGAGACAATCCCTGGATAAGCACTCTGCAAATTGTAAAATATAATATGTGGATTAAATAGATTATGATGATCTTTGCCTGTAGGTTTGGTACTGCATAATAACTTAGTAATTTCTTTTTTTCTGAGTATCCAGTCTCCTCTGGTAATTGTTCAATCAGCTTTGTGCAGTTTGTTTAGTGGACTTGCTTCCGAACAGCATTGGGTGAGTTCTTTGAGGCTAGGGACCACGTCTTATTTTTGTATCCCTGGTGCTGCCCCTCCCCCACTCCCAGCTCCAGTTCTGGAACCTAACAGCTGATTGAGTTGACTTGGCAAGCTCAACTCCTGCAAAGAATGCTCAGGGACATGGAACTGATTTTTTCAGTAGGTTATAGGGGGAAAAGAAAAAAAAGGAGGAGAATTTAAAGATGGGAAATCTGAACCTTAGTCAAAGAATTTTTCTAGGTTTATGGAACCAGTGGGCGGTGCACCGGGCTTCCCTCTGTCTCCCTGTAAAGTGCTATTCTTCATCGGCACAAAAGCAGATAGATCAACATCCCCTTCTGGGCTTCAGGCCTGTGGTGGACTCAAGAGGAGCCATTACCTTCACAGTCCAGGTGGGGACTGGGATTTCTCTGCTGTCATAGCAACAGTCCTGTTTCAGGCACTGTCTGGCCCTCTGAGCGACTAAGTCCCATCTGTACCCTTCTGCCACATTGTGGGTGGGGTCCACCGGATCCAGGATGATGGGCCTGCAACACAGGGACGGGATACCCAGGCTCCTTCTGGCTTGGGGACTGCGAGCCAGAGTAGCCTCCCAGCCACCATCTATTCAAACCACCAAGCCTCTGTAGGTCCAGGGCCTCCGGCTCCGAGTACAGGAGGTCCAGAAAGATCAGAGCAAGAGGACAGAGACCATCAGATTTCCAAAAATTCATCTCGGGGAGAGTTCTCTAGGTCATTGCAAGAAATTTTAGGATGGAGCGAGTGAGGCCTTAAAAGTCACACTGGAGCAATAACAGAGACCCACTCAGGCAGGTGTACCATTCAGAGGCAGAGCAGATGGTGCCAGTTTGAGGCTAGCACAGCTGAGTGGCTTTGGGTAATAGTAACAGTGCCAGCACCAACAGTGGACTTTCATTGAAGCTCTAGAGACAAACCCTCTGTACATGAACCTAGTTCACTCCGTACAACAATTCTACAAAGTAGGGACCAGTATTACTCTTGTTATGCCCAAGGGCATGCGAGGGCTACAGGTGAGAAAACGGAGGCACACACATCTCCCTGTTCTCAGGACTAGCAGCTAGGGTTCTTCCTCATTCTAATCCTACCGCCTTGACCCAGAGGAGGCTGGGCTGCCGCCAGGTCTCTCCTTTATATAAATGTTGAATGAATATTTCAACTAATGTCAGCTCAGTGTAACAGCCTGAGTGGGCCATCTGGGGAGCAGGGGTGGGTAAAGCCAGGCCTCTCACTCCAGGATCTTTTGTTCTGGGAGTCCAACTGGTGTGACAGAACCTGAGAGCAGGCTGCTGGGTGGACGGTACACTCTGGGCTCCCTGCTGGCTACAACCAACACTGGCCTCTGCTGCCCTGCTCCCTGGGGTGGTCCTGTCTGAAGGCCTAGGGGAGCAGTGCAGGCCCCCCCATGGGACTTGGGACATCTGAGGCAGAGTGGCTCATCCCGTGGTGGGGCACGTGATCTGCCACACAAGGCTTGTGACCAGGGATTGGTCTGGTTTCCTCTTGGGTTTGGCCCAGGGACGAGAGGGGGGCCCCCACTAACTGGGTTGAAGAAGAGGGCAGGATAAGGAGGAGGAGCGGAGGGGACTGGAGGGGGAACCCGGTGGTAGAGCACTGAGCACTTGCCTGGCTTGCAGGAGGCCCTGGGGTGGATCTCAGCACTGCCAGGAAAAAAGAGCAGAGACAGGCAGGGGAGAAGGGCAGAGAGAGAGAGAGAAGGAGGGAGGGAGGAGGAGGGGGGAGGAACAAGGAAAGAGAATCAGTCTCTAGTCTACCTAAGATCCTGAAGTTATTTTCCACCTGCAACTTTCTAGATAATCCTCTCCCCCTAAGGAGACCCCCTATTTTCCTTTGCATGTACCCCCCAATACTCACATAATGGAATATTACAACTTCTACTCTAAAGTATTGATCTGCTTCCCCCAGAAGCAGATCTCCAAATAAGGATTTGGCTTATTTGGAAGGAGAGCCCGGGAAACACTAAGAAAGGAGTGAGAGAGTGAGACAAGAAAAGGAAGGAAACCTAAGAAGAGGGACGGTGATATCAAGGTCATTACCACGGTAGCAGCTAGAGGTTTGTCCTGCCAGGGAACCCTGGGAACCCGTGTGGAAGAGGAGACCCAGAGTTCCTTCATCTGAGGTGAGCGGGAGCTGGGGCACTCTCACAAACTCCCTCCAGTTATTAGTTGAGGGCTATTCCAGAGGGGCTCCTGCTAGGGAGGGACCCCCCCCCCTCCCCAGGCAGAGGGGTGCAGGTGCTGGCACTTGGAAGCTGAGCCAGCTCTCACCGGAGCCATAAAAGCCAAGGGCATTCGAGGTCTATAGCAGTGAGCGTTTTTGCAGCATCTACCCCACACTAGATACGGCGGATCTTTCAAGCTGATTTTTGGTGACCCTTGTGGAACTCCTGTATGGGACCTTCCCATTGCATAGCAATGAGAAAATGACACAGCTGAGACTCAAACTGGAGGCTCCAAGAATCTTTTCTAATGCATCTCTAAAAAGCACTGGAATGGTCTCCTGAGGGCCAGAGGGCTAAGGGAGGGTGGAGGGGTTGTTTTGGGGACAAGGGAAAAGTTCATAACCCCTCACGGTGATCTCGGTGATCTCGACAGTCTGCAAACGTGAGACACTAACTGGAGCCATTGAGAATCTCAGGGTCAACTACTGTGGCAGCCTCGCTGTGTACTTAAGTCAATGCAGACAATTCCATACCATATTTCCCTCGAGTCTCTTCCCTCCCTCCCTCCCTCCCTTCCTTCTTTCTTTCTTCTTCTTCTTCTTCTTTTTTTTTTTTTTTTAATGTGAGACTTAGTGGGTAAGCTGGGCCCATACCTCTCTTTTTTGAACTGTTCTCTGACAAAGTCCTGGATGGTTGGGTGCTGGAGTGTGTAGTACTTGGTCCAGTAGATACAGATGAATTCATAATCCTGGAGCAGCTCCATCACTGTGCTGAGACCCTCGTCCAGCTTGAAATTCTCATTCTCCTGAGTCCCTGTTTCCCAGGCATAGATGGTCAACAGTTCAAGGGCATAGACAGGGGGCAGGTTGGCTCTGGGGCACTTGGCTCTCACGTACTGTTTAAAGAGATGGGAAGACAGAGAGACCCCGAGTTTATATGTGATGATGGCATTGGACTAGAAGCTGGAAATCCAAATTCTGGGCCTCATTCTGCTGTTTATTGGCTGTGTGGCTGTAGCCAAGTCACCTTCCCTCCCTGGGCCTTGGTTTTCTCATATTAGAATTAGAAGTTTGGGTTAATGCAGTGTTTCAATTGTTCTTAACAAACATAACTCCTGGCATGGAGTCGTGAAGAGGTGGCCTAAGGAGTGAGCTGGCTGGGACCTGCCACCAGCATCTCAGCCTCAGAAGCACTGTTTTAATTTGTTTCTACGTGCTGAGCTTTTGGGAAGGGTTTCTTTAAACAAAGGGCTTTTCACTAACAATTGAGGGATTGAGGGAGGTAATGTTCTATAGTGAACCTTGGGATAGACTTTAGGAGACATTATTTCCTATACCATTGTATTGCAGCCATACTGTTTGGGTGGGGTTGATTCTACTCTTTTCTTTTTAGGTGGAAACAATATCTTTATTTTATTTTTATGTGGTGCTGAGGATAGAACCCAATGCCTCATGCATGCTAGGTGAGCACTCTACCACTGAGCTACAACCCCAGCCCGATTCTATTCTTAACTCCAAAGTTGGCACAAACCGAACAACATAAACTTTTACCTCTTGCCAAGTGACTGATTCAAGAGAAGAGTGTGTAATTTGAGGATGATTCAATTAGAGCATAGTTCTTTTATTAAGTGATTGAAAGAAGAGAAGTCCTTTCTTGTGTGTGGATGTGAGGGCAGGAACAACTGTGGCCATTTTGCCACTACAAGGAAGACCAAGGCCCAGGGAGGGAAGGTGACTTGATCACAGTCTCACAACCAGTAGGTGGCAGAAATTAGAATTCTTTTTTTTTTTTTTTTGTATTTTTTTCTGTAACTTGCAAAACAAAACAAAAAAACTCCAAAAACATTTTAACTGACACTGATCACTTCCTGTCTGAAAAACCTCTCTAATATTCAGCCTTGTGCTAATCTCAGTTCCTTGGAAGGCTGAAATGGGAGAAGCATGGATTTGAGGCCAACCTGGGTAATGTAGTGAGACCCCCATCTTAAAAAAAAAAAAAAAAAAGCCTTTCAAACAGTCAGTTAGAAAGTGAAAATTTTTGTCAAATATCCAGCTATTGGGCTGGGGTTGTGGCTCAGTGGTAGAGCGCTCACCTAGCACGTGCAAGGCCCTGGGTTCGATCCTCAGCACCACATAAGAAATAAAATAAAGATGTTGTGTCCATCTACAACTAAAAAAAAAATAAATATAAAAAAAAAAATATCCAGCTATTGATCTGTGAAAGCAAAATTGCTCTTTCTTGTGGCCATTATAAATGAAGAGTGTACCACATCCCATAGTTAAACAGTAGCAGCAACAACATAAACAGCAACAAAAACAGACACAAGACTTTGACCTTAAAACAAACAAACACAGGAAAGCTACAGGGTCATAGGAAAGCCTTGTTCTAGTTTTCCAAATAAGTGGAACTTGGAGCCTTCCTAGAGGTCAGTGATTCCTTACAAAAAACAACTTTATCCCTGACCTAAAATTGTTTTTAATTGAACTCAAATTTATTTATAACTTGTTGTAGCTTTTCATGAATCCACACTTAATGCTCAATGTTATAAATCCTCATTAATCAATTATAATTTTGTTGGAATTTAAACTCATGTCAATACAATTTATTTTCTCCCCAAAATGTTGTTTTCTCCAATACCAGTGAGATTTTACATTCTTAAAACTTAGATATTCCCAAAGTACAGAATGCCTGTAGTCGTTCAGATGTAAGCTTTAGGAAAAATGAACCCTATACATCAGATAGGGTGTGCGTGTCTTGTAATTACTGCTGCTGGGGAGGCTGAGTCAGGAGGATCCCTTGAACACATAGTTCAAGACCAGACTGGGCAACATGGAACACCCTATCTCAAACCAAAACAACAACAAAAACCCACAAAAAATTTCATTCCTTAAGAATTTTTGGAAGACTATTTAAAAAAGACCTATGTACTCCTCTAGGGCTGATGTTCAGGGATGCTGGGTGGGTTAATCAGTCTTCTGTCTTCATAACAACTTAATAATCAACTTGTGAAGAAATAAAGTTGAGCGAGGCATGGTGTTGCATCCCAGTGGCTTGGGAGGCTGAGGCAGGGGGATGGCGAGTTCAAAGCCAGCCTCAGCAAAAGCAAGGCCCTAAGCAACTCAGTGAGACCCTGTCTCTAAATAAAATACCAAATAGGGCTGAGGATGTGGCTCAGTGGTTGAGTGCCCCTGAATTCAATCCCCAGTACCTGCCCCCTCTCCAAAAAGAAATAAAGTTGAGATAATTAACTTATAAAGAAAAGTTCATTTTTTTTCCAGTCATTGATAAACGTGACACCTTTATTTACTTTACATGATGCTGAGGACCACACCAGTGCCAGGAGGCAAGTGCTCTACCACTGAGCCACCACCCCAGTCTAAAAATGCTCATTTTGGTTCAGAATATTGGAGGCTTCAGTCCCTGACTGATGGGCCCCATTAGCTTTGGGCCTGTGGCAAGGCCGAACATCTTGGTGGGAGCAAATCCACTCACCTCCAGAGAGGAAAAGGAAAGGGGTGGGGTCGTCCCCTTCAAGGCCACACCCCCAATGACCCGAGTGCCTCCCACCAGGCCCCGCCTCTTAAACGGTCTACCTCCGATTAGCACTAAGCTGGGGACCAAGCCTGTAATGCACCAGCCTTTGGGGGACAGGTAAGGTCCAACTGTAGCAGATGCTATGACTTCCTCATATTTTGGATCTCTAACTTTTACAACCTTTCTAGATAATGATAAACATCTGAGAAAATAGTTTTCTACTGTCAACAGAGCCTAGCTATAGACCTTGTCATCTTGGTACTGTGTCTTATATATTTTATTGGGTTAACCCTTTTCTTCTGCAACCTGATTCCCTTGCAAATTCTCTGCAAGCTTTTACTTAATAAATGAGTTTCTTTTTTTTCTTGTTTTTTGAAAATTTCTTTGGGACAGGGTCTTTCTGTGTTGCCCGGGCTGGTCTCAAATTCCTGGGCTAAGCAATCCTCCTGCCTGCGTCTCCCAAGCAGCTGGAACTGCAGGTGTACGCCACCACGTCTGGCTATGTTGTTATCTCTAATTCTGATTCTTGTTTTGATTTGGTTGGGGCCACTACACCCCTGATGATATAATCTGTGAGTCCGGTTTTAGGTTTTGACCACTTGCTGGTGTCCATTTGGAGGTAGATGGCACCCATTTATTCCCTAGGGGACAGTAGTCAGTGGGTTTTGATTGTTCTTTCTTTATCTTGAGAATTCTGATATCTCTTGGGAGCCTCACACCTATTGTCTTACATGTTATTATGAATTTAAATCAATCAGTGTGTGTGGGGGTGTGTGTGTGTGTGTGTGTGTGTGTGTTTAAATACAATTCCCGGAAAAACAGTCCTGTGAGACTATGTGCTGGCTGACTGGTGTACTTTCTGTCGTGTTTATTTTTGTCTCATAATTAAAGTTGTAAAACCAAAACTGCTGGTTCATTTTGTTTTTATAAGTGAAAAAAAACATTTATATCACTTTTTTTTAATTAGAGTGGTCTCATTTGCTGTATAATTTATCTTTGGGCAATGTCTTTCTCCCCACTCCACTCCAGCGAACTTATGGAGTATAATTGGAAATAAATTCATGGGCAAAGATGAATATTTAAGGGAGGGAAAGGCAGGGAGAAGGGGAATTGCATGGATGGTGGAAGGAGACCCTCATCATGTACAAAATACATGTAATGAAGATGTGAATTTGGTGTCAACATATCTTATCTACAGAGATATGATAAATTTGGTATAAAGGTGTATTAAGAATTTTAAGGCAAAAAATAATAAGAAAGCTCATGTAAAAATAAATAAACAGATTTAAAAATAAATAAATAAATGTAATATAAATTTTTAAAATAAATATACATATACAAGCGCGCGCACGCACACACACACACACACACACCCCACGATGAATATTGACACCTAAAGGGACTGAGTCAGAATTTTACCAGACTTATTCCAAAAGCAGGTGACTTCATAGAAACAGACTGCTTAATGAAAGACAAATAAAACGAGAATGAACTACAAGGCTAGTGTTCTACACAGCTCTACTTGTGCACCATTAGATTAAACTCAGTAATGACCATGACACTGAGGAACTGGATCGTTGAGGGGGATGGATGTGGGTAGAATTCAAGGAGTCTTTCTTTCCTCTTAGGAGTCTTAGTTTGCTGGGATGGATGTGGGAGTGAAGGGCACATGAACTTGACATTAGACAGTAACCACAGCATGTCCAGCCCTTCATTACTGAAATACTATAGGCCACCTACTTTTCTCTTTCCTTCTCTTTCTTTTCCTCCCCTTCCTCCTCCACCTCTCCCTCCTCCACGCATCCTGGCAGCCCCCTTACCTGCTGGTACCAGTGTTTGACCAGCCGCAGGAGACTCTTCACTTTCGTTGGCCGATGTTTCACGAAGCATCTCTGCAGCTCACTGAAGGAAGGGGAGAAATTTCCAGGGTATCCACAGGCCTTGATCAGATTCACGTAGACCTCAGGGGGTGGCTGAGAGTTGGGGACAGCAGGCCCTGAGGAGAGAGGAAGCAAAGTGAGGTTGACTTAAGAAGCCCCCGAGGGATAAATAGTCTCTGGAGGAGGGCCGACTCATTCATTGGGGTGACCTTTTCAGGGAGACTTGAGACTTCATGTCCCTGGATATGAACAGTTTAGGGTTTGATTATTCTTCTTGTGAGATTCCTCCTCTGGAGAGCCAATGTTGGGCTTTCTATGCCTCAGTCCACTCCAGGACTATTATTGTCCTCCTTGGATGTCCCCAACACTGTCAGTTTTCCTTAACATCTGTTTTAGACCGCTTTCTAGTGATCCATTGGAATCTCTCAATATCAGAGAGGAGAACCAGTTCCCTGGCACCATCTTTCTTGATAAGATCAGATCTGTCTCTCTGACATCTTCTTCAAAGGACGATTCCATGCAGACGCTAATAGGACAATTCATAGGAGCTGGTGCACGATATGGAACCTGCTACGGTTTGGATCTTGAGTGTCTTCCAAAGTCCCATGGGCTCAAAGGTTTGGTTGCCAGCCTGTGGTGCTATTGAGAGGTGTGAGACCTTTAAGAGGTGGGGCCTACCGGGAGGAAGTTAGGTCTTTGGGGGCATGCCCGTGAAGGGCTATAGGGATGCTGCTCTGTGTTTCCTTGCCACCATGGGCCAACAGGCCTCCTGACCCCATGCTGCCGCCCTGATGTACTGTGCCTCAAAGTCCAAAGCAACAGGGCCAGGTGACCACAGACTGGAACCTCTGAAACCATGAGCCAAAATAAAACTTTCCTCCTTTTGGTTGGCTTATCTCTGGTATTTTGTCACTGAGTGACACAGAATTTACATCAGCTGGTATATTTTATTCCAAGAATCTAGAACTCTCTGCCTGAGGATTAACCATAAACGACATCAACCTAATGCTCCAAGAAGCAACGCTTAGCAAATGCCTTCCAAGAAGTTTGCAGATCAACACTCTAGTAGCCCTTCTGGGATAATGTTGAGATGTGCTTTATATTATTAATTCGAGTCCCACAGAGGCATGAAGCCCAGTTGTTAGGAGTGATGACTTGCTCAGTAATGTACCTTGTGTTGATTTCTCCCCTCCCCTGTCTTTTTTTAAAACCAGTGTTGAACCCAGAGATGCTTAACCACTGAGCCACACCCCCAGCCCTTTTTTAAAATTTTGAGACAGGGTCTCACTAAGTTGCTTAGGGCCTTGTTAAATGACGGGGGTTGGTTTGAATTTGCGATCCTCCTGCCTCAGCCTCCGGAGCCACTGGGATTACAGGCGGGTGCCACCACGCTCAGCTCCCTTCCCTGTCTCCATGCCCTACTTCCTTCCCAGGGTTGGATCATCTTCCTCAGGCCCTTCCTGCAGGATCTGCTGCTAGGATAGTCCTAACAAATGACAGACCTCTGTGCTACTTACTAAAACTCTTGGTTATTATTTTAGATCCTTTACTTCGTTAGGTCTCTGATCTTCCAGAATATCCTTTCTACAGGAAGACCCTTCCTGAGCACCCTTTCTGTGGCTACCCAGGGCACCCCACTCTTCTCCTCTGAGCACTGACCACCATTTATCGTCTGTTTATCTGTGTGATTCTTTGTTAAGCTTCTGTTTCCCAAGTTGGGCATCTTGACAGACAGAATGTGTTATGCTGGGTTCAGGGAGAAGCTCAGGCCCCAGCACAGGGCGTGGGAGCATAAATGAAGGACTGCAGGGTCTCCAAGGGATCAGGAGTGACAGGTGAAGAAGTTGGGAGTCTCCCGGAGAGAGCCAGTGTGGAAGTCATGGGCTTCCGCTCCCCTTACCCAGAGCTCTGTAGGCAGGCACGATGGTGATATTGATGGGTTCCGCGGTCCCCCTGGTCTGGATGGTGAAGTCGAGAGCACTGGGGACTCCTTGGGTTATTCTCAGGTCACTGAGCCCAAGATCCAGCAGGTCCTGGCAACACCACAGTTTTCCCCAGATCAGTCTCAGGACAGTTTGGTGGTACTTGGCCTCCTCCTGGAAGCTGTGGAAACAGCTCAGGAACACCACCAGTTCCACGTCTGCCTCGCTCCTGAGCACTGTGCCATTCCCAAAGGAGCCCACCTGCAGGAGACAGAGGCCTGTTACCGGGAGGCCCTGTGCCCTCTGGGAAAAGCGGTGCATTTTCCCAGTTTGTGCATGACCACCCTGAGGGATGGGTGGGCAAGCTGAGATGTCCAGAGGAAGGGTCACTCACCCAGAGTCACTCAGTTTGCAGCCTGACTTCAGAGCCTAGGCTGCTTATCTATTCTGCACTGCATGGCTCCTGAGACCCAGTCTTGTCCCCCTGTGGAGGAACGCCTACTCCCAAGGAACACAGGGTGAGCATCTCAAGTCCCCAAATCAGAAATCCAAAACGCTCCAAAACCCGAGCTGTTCTGAGAGCTGACATGACATCACAAGCGGACATTCCACACCTGACTTCATGTGACAGGTCACAGTCAAAACAATTGTGCACTCAAAGTATTGTATAAAATTATGTTGGGCGTGGTGGCACAAGCCTGTCATCACAGCAGCTCAGGAAGCTGAGGCAGGAGGATCTCGAGTTCAAAGCCAGCCTCAGTAAAAGTGAGGCCCTAAGCAGCTCAGTGAGACTCTGTCTCTAAATAAAATACAAAACAGGGCTGGGAAGGTGGCTCAGTGCTTGAATGCCCCTGAGTTCAACCCCTGGTAATTCCCCTCAAAAAATGATATTCAGGCTATGTGAGTAAGGTATTTATAAAACAGAAGTGAATTTCACGTGTAGGCTTGGGTCCCACTCCCAAGAAATCTCATGATGTACACGTAAATATTCCAGAATCAGAATATTCAGGACCCTGGAACACTTCTAGTCCCAAGCATTTTCAGGAAGGGATTCTCAACCTGTAATAATGTCTATTCTGTAGCATTTGAGGACTTGAGGGTGTATATCTGAAGAAACTCAATGCATTAAAAAGCAGGGAGCAGGTTTGACTATTGAAGTAGAGCCGTGAGCTGTGGAATGGGGCAGTTTGACTTTGACTGCGACTCTTTTGCCCTGTCTCAGCTGTGTGATCCTGGGCTGCTCTGAGCAGTGAGGGAATCTGAGCCATTGGATTACTAGGAGGATTAGATAAAATACTGTATGCCAAGGGCATGGCGTGGTACAGGAAGTCAGCAATGTATTTCTCTTCCTGTTTGTGTACTTGACTTAGCTAATCCTTCTGCCCTCTGGGAATCCATTTCCCATCTGGAATGGAAGGAGACTGGATGATTTTTTTTTAATTTTTTTGACCAGGGATTGAACCCAGGAGCACTTAACCACTGAGACACATCCCCTGCCCCTCTTTTATTTTTTTACATTTTATTTAGAGACAGGGTCTCGCTGAGTTATTTAGGGCCTCACTAAGTTGCTGAGGCTGGCTTTGAATCTGCAGTCCTCCTGCCTCAGCCTCCCGATCTACTGGGGTCACAGGTGTGTGCAGCACTGCACCTGGCCTTTGCCTGGATGATTTTGAGGGGGAGCTTTTAGATATTCTGAAATTCTAAACTTGCTCTCTGAGCCCTGCTGCCTGATAGACAAAGCCCCCTCACCTCTCTGGCTCCTCTCTTTCTCATCTCTGGAGGAAGAATGGGTGGGGAAGGCCAGACCCCAGGGGGGCTACATTTCCTTGCAGATGGAGTCACTGCACATGGATTACAATTCAGCTGTGACAAGCTGAGCAGGCCTTGTGTCTGGCACCACTGGAAGCACTTTATGTATATTACCCCTTTAAATTCTCACACTCACTGATGAAGCTGGGAATTACTAAGAGAATTCCCCAATGTACAGATGAGAATACTGAGGCTGGGGGGTGTTGATCAACTCGCCATGCCTCCCCCAGTCAGCCAGGAAATCAGATGAGTTAGAACACCAGTAGCTGGCGGCTCTTCCTCCTCTTTCTCCCCACAACCTGAGTCTGTGAGTCACAACCTACTCCTAGTAGGAGGAGGAGACACCTGCCATCTTTCCCCCACTTTACTGGATTTCAGACTCAGCATTTCCACTTCATGTGAGAAGGTTGAAGTGGATACTGTGTGGGGGCGAAGGGCAATGCCCCTGGAGACCATGTCTACCCCGCCTTTTCTGCTTTTCCCAGTGGTAAGATCCAGGCCGAGAAGGAAGAACAATCTAGAGCAGGCTTCGTGACTTGCTTCCATTGGAGCCATTTAAGCCCACTTCTTTCAAAGGCAAAGCATTGGCTCATGCAGAGGGCTCAGACTGCCAGGTTTTCAGAAGGTGGGAGGAAGGGAGAGTCTAGAGTCTAAATAAAATACATTCCGTCTCACTGGTCATTATTCTTTGGGAGTCTCTACCTTTTAGGGGTTTTAGGGTAGGATCGTGGTCTGTAAGAAAAATCGGATGGTCTATAAGAAAAACTGAGGCTTGTGTAAATACCATTTCCTGCCATCAGAACTTAACCTGCTTGTAGCACTCCTCTCCCCCCCCCCCCACCTCATCCCCTCCCTTCTTTCTCAGAGTTGTCTGGAGGGGGTGGGGACTGCCCAAGTTCCCCAGGCCCAAAAAAGGCCTGGGCCAGGGTTACAAATGTCCTTCTGTTTTTCAGCAACTACCCTGCACTGATCTAGCCTGCTTTTGTCCCATTTGCTTGGTGAAAGAGAGGTGAGGAGAATCATGTGCTCCAGACAGTAGATGAGAGGAGATGGGATAGCTAAGGTCATGCAGCAGGCAGGACAAAAAGCCACAGCTCAAACCCAAGACTGTCTGATGTCAGAATTCGTGGTTTTGCACTTCTAAATCCATGTCCTCAGCCTCCTGGGCTGCCTCTAAAGGGAGAATTGGAGTTCTAGACTAGGAGTCAGTAAGCCAAATTCTAGTCTTGCTTTTGCCACCAACTTGCTGTGTGACCTTGGGATATCTTTTACCCTCTCTGTGTGTCCATAGTGTTTAATGAAGGTTTGGCTGGGACTGATTCTTCAGGGCCTTTAGAGCTCTGGCCCTTTTAAATTTTGATCCTAGCTGGTATAGGAGGTGACATGAATCACGAGAAAATGTGCTTGGGGAAAAATCCTAGTGAGGGGGCCCGATCCCTAGCTGTGGAGTCAAAATTCAAATCCCAGCTTCAATACTAGTTGTGTGTCCTTGGGAAAGCCACCTCACTTCTCTGGATCTCCATTATAAAATCTTCTTATTCTCAAAAACTAAAGCTTGTAGAAAAACAGAAAGAAAACAAAAAGATATATCCAACCTGGTCAGTTCCACACACACAAACTCCCTGCTACAGCAAGAAACTTTGTCCCTGAATATTTCAGCATTGTGTCCACAAAAAAAAAAAAAAAGAAAAGAAAAGAAAAGAAAAGAAGAGAGAGAACATTGTCCCCCATAACCCAAAACTACTATCACACCTAAGAAAATCAACACTGATTCCCTCATGTCATCTAATCTCCAGGCCATGTGAAAATTTCCCCAGTTGTCCCCAAACCATATTTTACAGATCATTCACACCAGGATCCAAAGACCTCGAATCTGGTTGTTATGCATCTTAAGACCCTGAGTCTTCATTGTGCTCATATGAAAAATGGGAAAAGAACCATCTCTACTTCATAGGATGCAAGAATCAGAGATGACATGATCTTAAGGGATCAGGCCCTCAGAACCCTAAATATCAACTATTGAATCTAACATTATTATTATTCGGTACTGGGGATTGAACCCCGGGGCTCTTAACCACTGAGTCACATCCCCAGCCCTTTTTTATATTTTTTAAATTTAGAGACAGCGTCTTGCTAACTTGCTGAGGCTGGCTTTGAACTTGCAACCCTCCTGTATTGGCTCATTCTTAAGGCAGCGGTGTAGTGGGGCTATGGGCAGCTAGCTGGGGTGTCCTGAGACGTCAGCAGTGTGGGCCAGGAATACTGAGGCCAGGGGTCCCCGGTATCCTCAGGTAAGTGGGCTCTTGTGCTGGGCGTCCCCTGCGCTGGCCAGAGGACGGAGGGGCCCAGGCTTACCTTGACCACCTTCAGCACCCGCGCCTCCGGGTCCAGGGCGCGCTCTCCCTGGAAGGCCTCCTGCCTCAGGAACTGCTCCACCGTGTGCACGGCCTCCAGCACCTCCTCTTTCCATCCCCGGCTGGGCTGCAGCCACTGAGCCACGAAGGAGTCCAGCCTGGAGGCTGGGACACCGTACAGCTCCTGGGCCAGGGCCATCTCTGCCGAGGGTGACACTGCTGGGCAAATATATAGCCACCAGCCCACCCAGCTCCCGAACACACACCCCCTTCTTAAGGGGGCTCCTCCCCCGCTGACCTCAGACCCCTGAAGGATAAAGGACGGGGACAGAGAGGAATCCAGGGGTGAATGTGCTGCTTTTCTTGGAAGACCCCCTTGCGGCAGAAGGTGCAGTGTGCTGAGGGGACACTGGGCTGGGGCCCGCAGGTCTGGGGCCACCTTAAGAGGGCTGGCGTCCTGCCAACCTTCTTGCTATTGGTTTCGATTCTCAATTTCTAGAGTTTCCTTTTTATGACGTTTAGAAACTGAAATTGGCTTGAGTTTGACCTTATAGAAGCACCTCCCTAATAGATTAGGGTTGGATGGAATCATCGGTTTAATTGTCCCAACTGGTTAAAAGGAAACAGAAACATGGAAGGAGAAGAGCCTTGCTTGTGGTTGGGTAAAGAAAGAGGCCTCAGGAATTAGTGGGGATGACTTTGAATTCCAGTGTGCCCTTCACCAGATTCGTAACCTCACTGACCCTCACTGTCTTTATTCATAAGGTAGGTTTAATGATAATACCTACCTTGCCAGGCATGGTGGCATGTGCCTATAATCCCAGTAATTTGGGAGGCTAAGGCAGGAGGATTGCAAGTTGGAGGCCCAGCCTCAGCAACTTAATGAGGCCCTGCACAACTAAATGAATCCTGGTTCAAAATAAAAGATAAAAAGGGCTGGGGATGTGGCTCAGTGGTGAAGGGCCCCTGGCTTCAATTCCTGATACCAAAACCAAACCAAACCAAACCAACAATAATACCTACTTCATAAGGTTGTGCTAATGAAGCATGAGAATACTGATCAGAGGCAACACTCAACTCTCAACGGATGCAGTAGTTTTAGTTCATTCACTGAACATTTATTGAGTGACTGCTGGATGCTAGGCATTGTGCTAAGAAATCTCTGAAGTTCCTGCCCCACAGGGCTGGCTCCCAGAGCAGTGGGGTGGATTCCTGGGGTCCAATGCCATGTGTACTCAGTCACAAAAAGGACATGACAACTTGGCAGGGAACCAGGCAGAATTTCTTTGGGGTCACAGGTGGTGTTGGCAGACACCGGTCTGACATGATTCATAAAGACTAAGAATCAGGTCCAAAGGACACAGCGGAGATAAAGGCGGAGCGGCCTGAAGAACCCGGATGTGTCAGGGACTTAGGCACTGGATGTGCCTTGACGTGGGGCTGAGGTGGGGAGAGGGGCTTGAGGGTGGAGGCCAGAAACGGTCCTGGAGTGCCACTCACTCATCTGCTCACTTAACAAGTAATTTCTGAACACCTACTATGTGCCAGGCAGGTGCTGGGGATGCAGAACAAAAAGTCCCTGTGTGCAGGGCGCCTGTGCTCTGGTGGTGGAGACAGACAACAAGCAGGACGAGTCGGTGAAACTATAGTGAATCAAAAGGGATGAAAGCCAAGCAAGAAAAGAAAGGGTTGTTTTAATCCGCTCGTTTGCTACAGTGACTAAAAGACCTGCAAGAACAATGAGAGGAGGAAAAGTTTATTTTAGGGCTCAGGATTTCAGAGGTCTCAGGCCCTAGACAGCTGGTTCCACTCCTTGGGGCTTGAGGACATCATGGTGGAAGAGTTGGTGGAGGGAAGCAGCCCATATGGTGATCAGAAAGGAGAGAGAGAGAGAGAGAGAGAGAGAGAGAGAGAGAGAGAGATCTCCACTTGCCAGATACAAACTATAGACCCCACAGGCCCCTGCCCAGTGACCGACCTCCTTCAACCACACCTACCTGCAGTTAAGGCTCTCCCAACCCAGCCATTTCTCCTCCAAGCCTCTTGCATTGAATCCCATGTGAGCTTTTGGAGGACACCCCACATCCAAACCATCACAGGTGTTCAGTCCTCTATGAAGTGGTCAGGGAAGGCTTATGGAAAGGAGCTATTTGAACAAGACAGTGAAGTGAAGAGTGAACCATATGTATATGGTTAATTCCCAGCAGAGCAAAGAGCAAGTGCAAAGACCCTGTGGTGGTAATGTGCTCGGTGGGTTTAAAGAACATCATTGTGCCTGGAATGGAGCTCAAGGGAGGAGTTGAACGAGGATTAGGGCTGAGTAGTAAAGGGCAGGGAGGCAAATGGTTTTGGATTTTTTTTTTTTTTTGGTACCAGGAATTGAACCCAAGGGTGCTTAACAACTGAGCCATGTCCCCAGCCCTTTAAGTTTTTATTTTGAGATAGGGTTTCACTAAGTCACTTAGGGCCTCTTAAATTGCCGAGGCTGGCCTCAAACTTGTGATCCTCCTGCTTCAGCCTCCCGAGTTGCTGGGATTACAGGCAGGTGCCACTGCCCCTGGCATGGTATTGGATCTTGGAGGCTACTATTAAGACTTCTTTTTTCATCTGAATGAAATGGGGAGCTATTGGAGAGTTTTGAACAGAGGGAAGGACATGATCTGATTTCCGTTTCAATGGGAGCCATCCCACTGGCTGTGAAGGGAGAATTAGATTAAAAGCAGGGGTTGAGAGGGGAGGTGAGAAGGGAATCAGAGGTGTGGTCAGAGGGTTAGTGCTACTGTACTAGTCCAGGCAGGACATATGGTGGCTTGGATCAGAGTGGTGACAGAGAAGGTAGGGAGAGTAGTGTGATTTAAACAGAGAAAAAACTGGAATATATCCATATACCATCAATTAGCTCTAACAATTATCAACCTATGGAATCTTTTGATGATACACCATCCACATCTTTCCTTCGGTATTGTTAGGAATGGAATCCCAGGTTCATCATTTTGATGGATCTATTTTGACTCTAAGGCTAGGTCTTGTGGATTGATAGAGAGTAATCAATAGTGAGGGGAAGATCAGAGTTAAGATGTGTTCTAAGTCTGTGGGCTTTAGCAATCAGAAGGATGGAATTGTTCTTTTTTTTTTTTTTGTACTGAGGAGTGAACCCAGGGGAGCTTAACCACTGAGCCCCGTCCCCAGCCCTATTTTGTATTTTACTTAGAGACAGGGTCTCACTGAGTTGCTTAGTGCCTCTCTGTGGCTGAGGCTGGCTTTGAACTTGTGATCCTCCTGCCTCAGCCTCCTGAGCCACTGGGATGACAGGAGTGTACCCCCATGTCTGGCTCTGGAATTGCTCTTAATTTAGGGGGAAATGTGGGGCAAGGGTGATGTGTGGGCGTGACGATCAAGAGCTGTTTGGAACTGATCTGAGGTGCCCACTAGAGATCCAGGTGGAGACGTGGACGAGAGTTGGATGAAGGAGTCTTGATTTCAGGTCTGGACTTGAGATACAAATTTGGGAATCACCAGCATAGAGGTATTTAAAGCCACGAGACTAGAGGAGAGAAGGAGTGTAGAGCAAGGAGGGAAAGGGATCAAGCACCAAGCCCCTAAGCCTTCAATATCATGCAGAAGTTGAGAGTTGCAGAGCTAGCAGAGAAGAACGAGAAAGAGTGGTGTGGAAGCTAAATGATGACTCTGTTTTAAAAATGAGGAAATGAACCACTGGGTCAGCCCAGGTGAACGGGCTCTGAGTCTATCCTGGGGACAGTGGTAGATGAGAAGAGTGACTCATGACAAAGTTAGAATCTGGAAAAATTGGTCTGGCTGCTTCTGTGGTGAGGATGGATTTTAGGGGGCAAGAGCAGATGCAGAAAGGTGGGTCCAGACTCTGTCCTGTGGTCCAGGCGAGAGGCACTGGTGGCCCGGATTAGGCTGGAAGCAAAGGAGCTCAAGAGAAAGGCTTGGATCCTAGCTCTCTTTTGAAGGAATGGTGGACAGGAAAGGGGTGTGTGTGTGTGTGTGTGTGTGTGTGTGTGTGTGTGTTTTGATATCAGGGATTGAACCCAGGGGTGCTTAACCACGGAGCCACATCCCCAGACCTTTTTTATATTTTAGAGACAGGATCTGGCTAAATTGCTTAGGGGTCTCACTAAATTGCTGAGGTTGGCTTTGAACTCAAGATCCTCCTGCCTCAGCCTCCTAAACCACTGGGATTACTGAGCCCGGTTAGGTGTGTGCAGTTTTATGGGAGATGTGGAAGCAGAAGCCAGGTTAGAATGAGTTTAGGAGAAGTGGGGTGAAGGGGGTGGAAACCAGAAGTGCAGATAATCCTTTCAAGAAGTTTGTCAACCATGACAGTATTGCAGTGTAAGCTTTCAAACTGGCTAACCCCAAATGGAAAGCATCATGTTTTTTAAAATATAATAAATTCCAAAAAGTCCTCATGCTTCTACTGTTTGATCATACCGTATTAAAATAATATTTTAATATGATTTGTAATAGTAAAATAATTTGATTTAAATTTAAGTAAAATTTAAATTGAATTATTTTAAAGTAACAATAAAATAATGTAAAGAGTAGTAGAAATTTCACAAACTTAAGTCAACAACAAAATAAGACTCAGTGGGATGAGGATATAGCTTAGTTGGTAGAGTGCTTGTCTCGCAAATACTAAGCCCTGGGTTCAATCCCTAGCACCCCCCCCACAAGTAAGATCCCAACATTTTCATATGTTTATGGTGACAGAAGATGAACTCTGGGCTGGGGTTGTGGCTCAGCGGTAGAGCACTCGCCTAGCACGGGCGGGACCCGGGTTCGATCCTCAGCACCACATAAAAATAAAGGCATTGTGTTGTGTCCATCTACACCTAAAAAATAAATATTAAAAAAGATGAACTTCAAGGCAATATAAAAGTCATTCACATAAGAACCATTTAGACCTTATATATTATTTTTTTGTTCACCTTCAACAAATCTCTGAGGGTTGAACAGCTGTCAATCATTTGATCATTAATGTATCAGATGCCATTTGAAAAAAATATATAATCAGGATGACCTGAGTTTATTCACATGGTCACTATTTATCCTAATTTGTTATACATGATGGCAGAATGCAAGTCATTTCATATCACACATATAGAGCACAATTTTTCAAGTCACTGATTGTACACAGAGTATTTTCACACTATTCGTGTCTTCATACATGTCCTTAGGGTAATGATGTCTGACTCATTCCACCATCATCCTACCCCCTTGCCCCTTCCTTTCCCCTCCCTCCTATTTTTTAAATAATGCTTATTTCTCATGCTAGAAGGTAGAACAAAATCCCTTCTCCCGATTCAGTATGGAAGATCAAACTTCTCATATGGCAATGACACCACAGTCTCCAGGTAGACATATAACAGCCTGAATCACAGCTCTCTCCACATAATGTTCATGTGAGCCTCTGTTTCCTATCAAACTTGAGCAGTGGTTAACATTCTAAGCTTCTTATGATCATGAACTAAATGCCAAGCGCTCTGTGCTAATAATCCCAGAAAATACTCAAGAAGTAGCAGCACCCAGGCTCCAGAACTCATATTCTGATTGGCTTAGCCCAGGTAATGGGCTGAGTCTCTCCTGGGCCAGGTGATCACCCCTAGTCCAGTCAGTTGGGCAGAGGGTGAAGCATTTGAAGTGAAAAGATGAAAGGAACCCAAGTCTGGAGCTCAGGTCAGTGTCCACTGGCGGAACCCAGAGAAGGTGGGAGAGGAAGCTCTTCCTTGAGATGGTGCACGAGAGCTCAAAAGTTCCCACTGAGGTTGTCATGGTACCCGAACTTCCCTGGAAGTTGCCCCCTGGACATCATTTCCTATCCTCTAAGCCTTGAGATCCTCATGTGTAAAATGAGGAAGCGTTTTTATTTCTACTCGTTCCTCCACTTCCAGGGCAGCTGTGAGGATAAGAATCAAATGACATTGTGCCTTCGTATTAATTTTGCTGACCTGCTGAAACAGATCTTAGTCAAAGTTATTTTTTCTCCTCTGTTCTTCCTGGGGACCGAACCTAGAGGAGCTTTGCCACTGAGCCACATCCTCAGCCGTTTTCACGTTTTTTTTTTTTTTTTCTTTGAGACAGGGTCTCACTAAGTTGCTGAGGCTGGCCTCAAACTTGTGATCCTCCTGCCTCAGCCTCCCATCTCACAAGGAACTGTGTCACCATGCCTCGCTTTAGTCAAAGGTCTTGGGACAGAAAAGATACCAATTCTGATGTATTCAATGGTGGCTGCTTACCCGACTGAGATGTTGAAGAAACATAGGAGGAACTTGATAGAAAAAAAAAAATGTCAGGATTGACATTCCCCATCTTCTCTTCCTAGGGATGGGAAAGGGCCTTTGATCCTGTCTCTGGCTGTGTGTGGTTCCATTCTCTGGGCTGTTGACTCTCTTTACTAAAATATGGGCTTGGGTGGAGTTCTGGTTTCTGCCCCGGTCCTGAATGCTCTTCTGTTTAACCACAGCAGGAGCTCACTGTACCTGGGTGCACTCTCCAGTGCTCCGAATCTGATTGGTGAAGGAGAGCAATGGATGGCTTCTATCCTGATCACCTTTGGCCCAGTTAGGGTTAGACAGAGAGGAAAGCATCATTGGCTATGAGCATGGAGACCAGATCCACCACTCTAGCATTGTTTTTTTTTTCCCCAAAAAATATAAGACATGGGCTCAGGGGTACCCCAAACAATGTGGGCTCCAAGATGGCATTGGACCAAGATCCTCATAAAGACAATAGTGAAGGATTCAAACACATACTTTGGCTCATTCCTTTATTCAGAAAGCATGTGCCAAATGTTTGCACTGGGGAGGGGCCATTCTAGACCACAGGGCACAGAATAAAGCAGTTTGTCAGGTTTCACTAGTAGAGGGTGACAGAGGAAGGAACACAGGGAGGGTCCCCAGGTACTTCCACAGAAGTCTGATCTGGGTGAAGAGGGGCAGTAAGGGCAAGAGACGCCTTGGCCAGCTGTATGGGGCAGGTGTCAGGGGTTCCCAAACTGCAACACGCATCTTGGAAGGCTTGTGAGACGCGGCCCGCTGAGTGTCACCACCTGAGAATCTGACTCAGGTGAACTTGGGAGAGTTGTTGTGAGTTTTCCTGTCTAATGAGTTCCCGAGTGCGGCTCGTTCTGCTGGTCTGAGGTCCACAGGTTGAGATTCATTCAATGACTTAGAAGTGTGAGCATAAAAAGAGGGGAGAGACCCTGGGGATGTGGCTGAAGTGGTAGCACGCTCGCCTGGCATGCACGGGGCACTGGGTTCCATCCTCAGCACCACATAAAAATAAAAGATATTGTGTCCACCAAGAATTAAAAAAAATAAACAAATAAAAGAGGGGAGTCATGGGAGAGGGGAGAGTAGACTCAAAGTGATGGAGTTATAACCTGACATTTAGTGTTCTGGAATTGCAAGTGTTTGGGAACATCTGGTTTGTTTTGAGTGGCGAAGGCAAATTGAGGGGTAAAGCAAGGGGTAAAAGTCAAGGACCCCGAATGCACAAGCAAAGGAACTTGAACTGCATTCTGTAGGTAACGGGGAGACACCGGAGGCATTTAAACAGGAGAGGGCTATGCACATATTCATATTTAGGCTTCAGAAAGAGCAGAGTGGGTAGAAAGGGCTGGGATGGGGGGAAGGGACCCCAGGAGTCTACAGGGTGAGCGGCCTAGCCTGACCATGGGCAGTCCTAGGGACCTTCAGCTTCTCTTAATGAGCGTGATGGTGTCACAGTCTTCTATGTCCAAGTCTTCAAGCCTGCGGCGGTTCCACAGGGTCCGACCCTGGGCCTTCAGTATCTGGTCCTTTACTAAGGGTCCTCCAGCGTCTTCGATTTTCTCTTTCAAGTCACGGATGGTGTCATCAGGGTAGATGGCATAGGGTATGCTCTGGCCATTAGCATCCTTCACAAAGACCTGGATCTCAGGAGGGATGGTCTCCAGCACGCGGACATTCACCTTAGAGAAGATCCCATAATCAGCCAGAGTCTGTTGGCTGCTGAGCAGTTGCCTCTCTCCCCCCGGCTCCTGGAAGGAGAGACGATACTGACTCTGGGGGCTACTTGCCCTATTTGTCCTCTTGATCTCTGCTTTCATCTTCCAGATGGGACTGTACGGGTTCACTGAGAGCGTCAAAGGCTTCTGGCCAGTCTGTTTCACAGTCACCTGGACATCTCTTGCTCTCTGAAAGAGAAGGAGCAACATATGAAAGGTCTTGGGTGGACATGGCCATCTTGGCCTCCAAAGCTTCTCCCTTCTAGCTACTGATGATGTAATTTACCAAGATACTTTCAGAAGTCCAAGAAGGTGCTATTACTAACTATGGGGGACAACAGGACTCAGACTGTTCCAAGTGAAGGAAACTATTTGGTCATTCTAGGCTAACAGATCCATTGGGACAAACTCCTGTCTTTTAACTCACCCAAACTCGAGGAACAACTGGTCTCAAAATCACACTCCTCCTACGTGGGACTATTCAAAGTCTTCACCTGTCGCATGGTGACAATGTTTAGTATCTCCATGAGCACATCTAAGTGTTGATGTGAGGTTAAGTGATTTAACGTCGAGCTCTGGGAGACATGTTCAAGGGTATTCACTGTGATGGCAAAAGTCTGAAAGCATCTTCAAAATCTGCCCCATGGTACGGGTTACACAAATTAAGACTTTTCATTCATTGAACTAGGATGTACCTGCTGAAAAAAATTCATTGGTTCTGGGCTGGTTTTATGTTCGTACTCACTTAGGACAGTCCTGGTGTAGATCACTTGACCTGGCACAATTAATCTTCCCGATTTCATGCTCAGAAGTGTCCTGATTTTTTTTTTAATATATATGGTTAGGCCTATTGGGTATATATGGGTGGATGGGGGAATGGTCTGTAAGATAATTTAATTTAGTAATGGAATAACCCATTGAATAAACAATTCAAGTAAAGTCAAAATGCATCCGGACACAGGCGTGTGCTCGGGGGTCTGTGGTATGTCCATGGCAGTGGATGAAGTGATGGAAGAGTGGGCATTGGGAGGTGGTGTTTCATGAGACAGGGTATTGAGGTGCGCAGGAAACATACTTTAATTCTATCTCCTTTCCAACAGTTTCCTTTGATTTTGTCTCTCAGGACCCGGGGTCCACTGGACATTCCCGGCCAATGGTGTATGGCTGGGTGATAGCTTCTCTGCGGTGGCTTAGTTATCTGCCTTGCTTCTGGTGCTGTGGGGTTGCTTTTGAGGCCAGACTCAGAATTTCCATGCAGGATACGAAGAGTGGGAATAGTGGCCAGATTTCTCTCCGAGTAGCCGGTTGGGAAAATTGGCCTTCTAGGGGAGCTCATCATCAGAGTCCTGGTCTCTGAACATGGATTCCTACTTAGTGTTAGACACCTGTGTGGGACCAGCTGTGACGACACAGCGGTTGTCCTCAGGGGAGTCCCTGTGATCCTTGCTTAATTTTTTGGGAATTATTAAGTCTCTTGTATTAATAGCAAGAATCCAGGCAGGGCCGATATTTTCCTGCCATTTTACAGGGGAATGAAACGAAGCCCAGACATTCACAGTACAAGAGAAGAATTCTAGAGCTGGTGGGTTGGGATGTCCACATGGGAGAGGTCGCCTGTCCCAAGAACCCGTGGGAAGAGTTGGGGAGTCTGTGTGGAGACAACCTGAGCCCTGACTTGGAATGGAAGTCCTACCTGGACATGCCAGCCGTGGCCGGGGTCTTCTGTCCTGCAGCAGGCCTGTCTCAGGCAGTAAACAGCCTCTCTGGCCATCAGGTCCCATCCTCTCCCCCTTCCCAGGTTGTTGGTGGGGTCAGCCGGGTCTAGGATAATGGGCCTGGGGGACAACAGGAAAGCAGAGCTCTGTCACACTTAGATTGCGGCCTGTGGCACTCATGTCTACGGGGTTGTGCATGCTTTGGTGTAGGAAGAACTATCTCTAAGATGAAGGTCTTGGTTTAGGATTACATTTGTAACCCAAGCTGGCCCAATCAGAGTGAATCTCTTGAGATTTTTCTTGGAAGGTTTCCTCTTGTACCAGAAGGTATATGTCCAAAGGAGAAGCCTGGAACTGATGAAACCATAAAGGAATGAACCTGATTTTAATGCCCCTGGGAGGGGCAGAGCTGAACAATTCATAGAAAGGGACTCGGATGACATAGCAAGCACCTAGATCATGCCATACCCGAAGCTTCTTTTACGTTTGGGCTTTCCAGTTGCAAAAGTCCTTTTATTTTAAGAATTGTTCCAGTTGGCTTTTCTATTCCTTGAAGCGGAAAGTCAGACAATCAACACACTCACCTGCACTCCTTCAACTTTTGTTTGATAAAGTTTCTGACAGTCTCATTTTGGAAATCATAGTACTTGGTCCAGTAAATGCAGATATCTTTGTAATCTCTGAGGAGTTTCATGACAGCCACAAGCCCTTCGTCCATGTTGAAGTTCTCACTTTCGTCTGTACCCCTTTCCCAGGCATAAATGGTCAGTAGCTCCAATGCATATTTTGAAGGCACTGCTTCTCCTCGGTATTTATCTTTCACATACTGGAGAAGGTATGGGTATATGTTGGTTGGGGTGGGGGGAGGAGAGAGGAAAGAGAGAAGGCAGGGGAGAGGGAGAGAGGGAGATTTATTATATGAGTGATGCTCTGAGAATTTTCAGGTCTGTTGCCTTATGTGGCACAAACCATTACAGGTGAACATAGATGTCCTAGGGCCATCAAGATTTCAATAAAAGAGGAAGTTAGGGTCACTTATGGACCTTCAGGGCCTCTGAAGTCCATTTTATTCATTTGGAATGGACGGAGCAATACACTATATTGAATATAGGAAATAATTGGAGAAAACTAAATCACACAGACAATAGAAAAAAAAATCAGAACAAATTGAAAGGCGAAGGGGAAAGAATAATGTGAAATGATCAATTCCTCCAAAATGAAGTTAGACATTCATTGAAAATTTCAATTAGAATCTCAGGGTTGCCTGAAGATTCATATTAGAAGCATACATGCCTGGGAAAAGCCAGTTAATTATGAAAAAAAAAGCTTGATTATTTGTCATCTTGGATATGTCACACAAAGCAGTGGTAACAAAAGCAGTATGCTTTGGGCACAGTAATGAACAAGAGTCAAGTTCAACAGAACAGATAGCCTACAATTTACAAAGAGGTCTTACAGTTGATAAGGAAACAACAACAACAAAAATCAATGGAAAAATACACTAATGACACTACTAGGTAATTCCCCCAATGTCAAGTCCAATGGCAAATGCATTTGAGGACGGACTCAAAAGAAAATGATAATATAATTCGACTCGTGATTGTTAGCACAAGTTGTAGTCAGACACTCCTACGCCCAACTCTTAACTCCATGTTAGTTTCGAGTCTGTTTTCTTATCTCCAAAAATGAGGATAATGAATAATATGTGGGAGCTGCTCTCAATGACCACACCTTCCAGTCCTGGTGCACCAGGCTCTGACCGACCCCTGCATTCCTTGTGGCTGGGGCGGTGACCCACTCAGATAGCAAGGCCAGTCTTCTGAGCAGGCAGACCCTGGAGTTGAGCTACACTTACCTGTTCCTTTGTAATCCTACCCCTTTGTCCTGTTTGGGATAGAATGTTCCATGGAAACCCCCTTTGTGTGTCCCCTTCTCTTGCTCTGCCCTTGGGTGTGGCCTTCCTAGATGTCAGTCACCTGCTGACAGCAGACATCACGAAGCTAGACCCAACCCCCTGAAACCTGAGCCCTTGCCTCATTTAAATGGCTTCTCCCCAATAAAAGGGTTCAGCATGTGCGCGCTCTCTCTCTCTCTTTCCCTGGGCCTCTAAGATCAGAGGAGCCGTCACAGGACCCAAAGAAAAAGGTATTTGTCTGTCTTTGTGTGGTCATTTCGTGCAGCCCAGTTCACCTGGAGTGACCCTGAGCGTTTAGTCATGGAATACACTTTAAATGAGAAAAATGTGCAGCACTGATAGCGTAGATCATGAAACATTACTAACGACAAATGGCATTATTATATTGTCATCGTTTTTATCATTATCTGAAGTGCCTGTAGTTGGTTCACAATCATGTTTGTACTCATCAGGAAGCACGTGATAGGTGTCATTAAAATTAGGAGGTCCTGGGATGGACACTGAGGCTTCAGAAGATAAGAGCATGGTAATGACAAACACCATCATCAACAATACGGTGACCCCTGATATCCTCCAGCAGTCCCTAGGTTACACAGGGCTTCGGTTACACTCTTTCACTTACACTCTTTAACCTGCCTCATATCCTTAGACAGGTTGTTTCTATTTTTTTTTTTTCTTCTTTAAGAAATTTTGGGCTGGGCGCAGTGGTGCACACCTGTCATCCCAGCGGCTCAGGAGGCTGAGGCAGGAGGGTCTCAAGTTCAAAGCCAGCCCTCAGCAATGGCAAGGCACTAAGCAACTCAGTGAGACCCTGTCTCTAAATAAAATACAAATAGGGCTGGGGATGGGGCTCAGTGGTCGAGTGCCCCTGAGTTTGATCTCTTATGTATCAACCTTCCTCTCCCCCTTGTCCCACCCCTCCCAGTCCAGTGCCGGCTCTTCTCACCTTCAGGTACCAGAACTTCACCAGCCTCAGGAGGTTCTTCAGTTTAAAAGGGCGGCTTTTCACGAAGTGTCTCTGCAACTGTGTGAAGCTTGGCGAGAACTCCCCAGGGTAGCCAGAGGCAGTTATTAAACTTTCATAGATTTCCGGCTCTGGTTTAGAGTCTGGGCTAAAGGATCCTGAGGAGAAAAGCACCAAGACAGGAAAACCTACCTTTAAGATAAGGAAGATGGGGAGAGGATGACCCAGCATAGCAAAGGCGTAAATTATGTCACCCAAGGCTCACCTATGGTGCTACTTCCCCCCTTTTATGCCTCAGTAAGTAGAGGCTAGATGGTGTGGTAGCTCACCCCCAAGTCACATAGATTTTAAATGTGGCCAAAGACTGACTGTGTCTCAGGCACTGGGTCAGGCTCATGGGATCCTCAGAACAGCTCACTGAAGTAGTTAATTTAGGTGGAACCATAGGAAACTGCCCCTTTTTGCAGGTCAAACATGGTCAAATAGTGTCAGTTTCCTATGGCTCCACTTAAATTTGATATCATCTCATTTAATAGGTTGGCGTGTTTAGTCTTGGAGCTTTTAAATGATTTGCCCAAGGTCACACACAAGTAATAAGTTTTGGAGTCAAAATTTTGTATCAAATGCACTGATTTAAAGATGATTCCAATTTAGTTCTGTGCAACTCGAAGTGCCTTGAATTACTCGCTTGACCTGGTGTTTCCCAGACAGTGGGAGAGGAATCTTTTTCTTGGGTTGGGTAGGAATTTTATCATTTAGGACAAATTCTCTTTCCCCAGGCAATATTGGGACAGGACAGCACATGCGTTTATAGAAGGACTGGAATCTTCAGGATACGTATAGCTCCAGTGTCCGAAAAAGAACAATTCCATTGGTTTCTACTTCCCCACACCTCTCTCAAGACCAGGGAAAGGGGCCCTGACGAGTTTCTCTGGGCCTGATCCATAGCCATCTTTACCCAGAGCATCAAAAGCTGGGAGCACGTCCATCCGAAAGACATCAGTGCTCTTCCTGCACTGGATCTGTAAGGTCAGAGAACGAGGGATCCTGTTTCCCTCCCTGTGATGGATCACCATGATGCTGTAGGCCAGGCTTCTGCTACAGCAATCCAATTTCTCCTCAATGAAGTCAATAATGTATTTTCGGACCAGTGACTGGCTTTGGAAGCTTACAAAGCAGCTCAGGAACAGAATCATATCCAGGTCAGATTTGTGGTTCAGAGTTGTTCCTTTTCCTGAGGAGCCACCCTATGGAAGACAAATGCTGAGCTTTACTTTTCTGCTGAGACTTGTTACTTTGAGGTTGAGAGTGAAGCCGGAGATACTCATGGTAGAATGTCTACAGAGACCTCCAGAGGAGCCCTTGGCCTCCTCCCCTGCTGCCCGTGTTGCAGGGTGAGCATCTCAGTCCAAAACTCAGAAATCTGAAATGCTCTAAAATCCAAAATTTTTAGTCTTGACATTGTACTACTCCCCCTCCCCAAAGTGTAAAATTACCTTTAGGCAGCACATATACTGAAGTTAGCTAGGCATGGTGGTGTATGCCTATAATTCCGGCTTCTCAGGAGGCTGAGGCAGGAGGATCTGAAATTTGAGGCCAGCCTTGTGGCAACTTAGTGAGATCTCAAAATCAAATTTAACAAAGCAGTGGGATATATTGCTCAGTGATAGAGTGCTTTCCTAGCATGTGCCAAGCCCTGGGTTCAATTCCCTGTTAAAAAAATTAATTATGGGGCTGGGGTTGTGGCTCAGCGGTAGAGCCCTCGCCCAGCACGTGCGAGGTCCTGGGTTTGATCCTCAGCACCACATAAAAATAAAAAATAAATAAATAAATAAAAATATTGTGTCCAACTACAACTAAAAAATAAATATCTAAAAAAATTAATTACTTTCAGACTAAGTGTATAAAGTATATATGAAACATATATGAATTTCATGTGTAGACTTAGGTCCCATCCCCAACATATTTCCTTATGTATATGCAAATATTCTAAAATCTGGAAAAGAAAACATAAAAAAATCCAAAATACTTCTGTTCCCAAGAATTTTCAATATTTAGAGGACATTCAACCTGTACTACATCTTTTCACTGATTTAGAAAAATTAAATACCTCATGAACATTTTAAAGATATAAATGAAATGTAAAATTCCAGCCCCCTAATGACCTTTAACTCCCTTCTCCAGAGGTAATCACAGTTACCAGTATTTTATGCGATGTTCCAAATAACTATCCAGGAGCTGGGGATGTGGCTCAGTGGTAGAGCGCTTGCCTGGCATGCACGAGGCATGAGGCACGGGGTTCTATCCCCAGCATCAGGGAGAAAAAAAAACCTGCCCTGTCTAACATGGCAGCCAAAAGCCGCGTGTGTCTTTAAATTTTAATTAATTAAAATGAAATTAAAACTCAGTTCTTCAGTTACATTAGCTTTATTTCAAGTGCTCTATAGCTGCCCAAGATAGTGGCTATTAGATTTGATAACACACATACATTGTATTCTCATTATAGAAAGTTCTACAGGACAGCTCTGGCTTGATAAACATATTTTTGTGTTTATATTTTGATTATATGCATATTTTGTATTATAGATGTATGTGTATATGTACAACACTTGGTACGCTTTATTTTGAAATAATTAGATTTATAGGGAGCCATAAAGACAGGAGAGAGGGGTTGGAGTCTTCCCAATGGTTGTGTCTTATCTAAATAGAGTAGAATAGCAAGACCAGGAAATTGATGTGGATATGACGTATTTAGTTCGGTGACATTTTGTCATGTGTGTAGATTCCTGTGACATTGCTGGATCGAGATAGAGAATTATTCCTTCAGTATAAAGATCTTCCTCATGCAGCTTCTTTATAATCAAATATGCTTCCCTCCCCTTCACCATCCCTCAACCCTATAAAACACTAATCTGTTTTCCATTTATATAATCTTGAATGTTTTATACAGTTGTGTTGGTGCAGTGGTGCACACCTGCAATCTCAGGGACGCCGGAGGCTGAGACAGGGGGATGGCAACTCCCAGGCCAGCCTCAGCAATTGAGTGAGACCCTGTCTTAAAATAAAAAAGGGCCAGGGATGTAGCTCAGTGGCAGAGTACCCCTGGGTTCAATCCCAGTATTGGGGGAAATAAAAAAAAAAAAAGAATGTTGTATACAGTTGTCCCTTAGTCTCTCGGGACTGGTTTCAGCACCCCCTCAGCAATCCAAATCTAAGGATGTTCAAGTCTCTTAATAAAATGGTGTAGTGGGGCTAGGGATGTGGCTCAAGCGGTAGCGCGCTCACCTGGTGTGCGTGCAGCCCGGGTTCGATCCTCAGCACCACATACAAACAAAGATGTTGTGTCCGCCGGAAAAAAAAAAATTAAAATTCTTTAAAAAAAAAAACAAAAAAAAAAAACGGTGTAGTATTTGCATATAGCCTATGTAATTCTCCAGTACATTTGAAATCAGCTCTAGTTTACTTATAATCCCTAATATAAGTGTTATGTAAATAGTTGTTATACTGTATCTTTTATTATTTTGTTGTTGTATTGTTTTACTGAATTATTTTTGTTATTATATTGTTATTCTTTAATCCCTCCCCCAATATATTTAGACCTTTGCATCTGAAAGTTCCACATGTGCAGATTCAACCAACCTTAAGTCAAAAACATCGGGAAAAAAAATATATATGTACTTGTAGATGGATAGAGTAGTTTATTTATTTATTTATTTATTTATTTATTTTTTGAGAGAGAGAAAATCTTTTTTGTAGATGGACACAACACAATGCCTTTATTTTTATGTGGTGCTGAGAATCGAACCCGGGTCCCGCCCGTGCTAAATGAGCACTGTACCGCTGAGCCACAATCCCAGCCCCCTTTATTTTTTATGTGGTGCTGAGGATCGACCCCAGCGCCTCCCATGTGACAGGCAAGTGCTCTACCACTAAGCTACTGTCCCAGCCCCTTTGGCCTACTTTTATAAGCCATTAGTTCACTCTTTACTGTGCAGGGCGAAGTTCTCTGCACAGTAAAGAGTGAACTAATAGCTTATAAAAGTATATGCCTGACTTCTAACTCCTTTGCACAAGTGAGTTCTGTTGAATTTAACCTAATGTTTTTCTTTCAACAATACATATGAAAGGAAACATTTTCTAGTTATTTACAAATGTTTGAAATGTGCTTATAGATGAGCATAGTGCTTGTATTTATATGACTTTTGAAGTCATTCATTTTGTAAAATAAGTTTTTGTATTTTCCTATTTTTTGTTACTGTTTTACTTGTGTAATTAAAAAATCATGGAGCAATTTTGACTTAGATACTTATGTGTCCTTGATTTATACATTTCTTTTCTTTTCTTCTTTTGGTACTGGGGATTGAACCCAGAGTGCTTGACCACTGAGCAACACCCCCAATTCCCCCTTTTCTTTTTAATATATATTTTTTAGTTGTTGATAGAACTTTATTTTTTATTTACACGTGGTGCTGAGAATTGAACCCAGTGCCAGGCAAGTGCCCTAGAGCCCCCATGCCCTTTTTTAGTATTTTATTTAGAGACAGGGTCTCACTGAGTTGCTTAGGGCCTTGCTAAACTGCTGAGGCTGGCTTTGAATTTACAAGCCTCCTGCCTCAGCCTCCTGAGCTGCTGGGATTATAGGTGTGGGCCACTGTGTCCAGCAATTTAGATATTTCTTGATCTGAGGACACAGAATAGTAAAAAAAAGAACAGAAGGATAAGACAGAGGTGGTGATTAAATACAGCAAGAGATGTCCTTGTAAAACTTACTCACGGTCCTAGAAGACTCTCCAGGCCACTAATGGCAGGAAATTAAATGGAATTAGCACATTTGACACTAGAAATATACCACTCTCACCCCAATATGAATGGATGAAACCAGGAAAAATAGATGCAACTAAGAAAATTTCCTGCTGAAAAGGTCAACGAAGGAAGAGAGAAAACAAATGTTGAATCATGTGCAAATGTCCCCTTTCCTCTTAACATAGGATAGAAATGTAATTTAAAAATATGTCCTTGTTGTCATTGCTTGTTTATCAATGTTTATTCAGATAAGATCTTCAGTTTCAGTCATATTTTATTCTAGGCATTTTCTATGCTGCTCAAATTGGTGATGCTAATTATTTTAGGGGTGTTTTGATTTTTGGAAAGATATTGTTGAGAAAGGAAGAGGAAAGATAAAATAATTTTTTTCTTATACAGAGGAATAATCTTCACTTGATGCATACACCTGTACAAGTGGGAAAAGGAACTTCAAGATATAGATATTTGGGGTAACATAATTTCCCATTGAAACAGCACATTTGAACCTGTACAAGAGCTTTATTTAGAACGTATATCAAAATCCTCGAGCACCTTAAGACCCATCCTTAAGAGACTCTTGGCATTTCATTTCTGGTGTTGGTGGGGATTTCCTTTTTTTTTTTTTTTTCAGATCCTGGAAGCAAAGATGGGCATATTCAGCTCTGGGGCTGAGGTCCCCTACAGTGAGGTCAGAGTAGGGAGTCCTCAGAGTCCACAAATGCAAAGCTGTATCTTTTAAAGCAACCCCAGGAGCTTGGATTTGTGTTTTGAAGGGCAGGTTGCTGATAACTGTCCTGAATCTTGGGTTTTAGCTCTTTTTTTAAAGATTCTTCAAAACTGCCTGTTCTCCCTCCCCAGTGCTACCCTGTCCAGTCATTCCTTTCCCAGGGAAAGCCAATTTACTTCTGTTAACGGGAGATGTCTTTCATTCTAGCAAAATGAACAAAATCTGGACTTATGGTTGAAATGTCGCGGGAAAACAGACTGGCTGAGAAGCAGCTAGCAACACTGAGAGAGGACGAGAACTCCAAACTTTATTTTACACCCACAGGCCCAGAGGAGGAAAAAAAAAAAAAAACTTTCAATGCTGAGCCCTGACCCACATTTTCTCACAATATTCAGAGGCTATTTGATATCGTCTTAGACCCAGCCTATCACTGGGGCTTTTTCTTCTTCTTTTTTAATTCCTAATCTAGGTGGCCGAAGGTCTTGTGCAGAGTCTCAGAAACCGATAAGAAGAAAGGGTCCTTCTCACAGGCGTCTGCTACATTTCAAGAGGGAGTAGGCAGACCCTTAGGACAGTTACTTACAATCCAAAAGGCAGGGACCCGTAGTTAATTAGGCTTCCTGGAAAAAGGCTGAGAGAGGGGAGCAGGACTGACCCCTTCCCCAGGCGTTGGTTTCTTACCATAAGGTTTTTGTAATTTAATTTCATTACCAGGTCTGGTTTTGCCATCACACAAACACTTTTATTTTTATTTTATTTTATTTTTTTAGTTGTAGATGGACACAATACCTTTATTTAGTTTTTTATGTGGTGCTGGGGATGGAACCCAGTGCCTCACTGTAAGGATGGCCTTAGGCCTGAGCCTAAGCAACTCCATTTTAAAACTCCAGTTTGAAACCAGTCTCACCAAGCCACCCCTACCGAACCCTCCAGTTTGGCCCTCAGGCACAAACAAGTCACTTCTTCCCACAAACTCAGAGTGAGGTCTCTGTCACACATCCTTGCCCCATAAAGGGGAAAGGCAAGAAAATCAGGGTGGGGACCCCCAGACCAGATGCTTTTTTTTTTTTTTTTTTAAAGAGAGAGTGAGAGGGAGAGAGACAGAGAATTTTTTTTTAAATTATCAGCGGACACAACATCTTTGTTTTGTGTGTGGTGCTGAGGATCGAACCCGGGCAGCACACATGCCAGGCGAGCGTGCTACCGCTTGAGCCACATCCCCAGCCCCCAGACCAGATGCTTTAACCTCAGGGTAAATGACGTCACTGAGAAACCGGTGGCAGCTGATAGGGATTTTGAAAGGGTGGTCAGAAGCCCCAGAATTTAGTATAAATGAAGGAGCAAATGACCAGACATTCAGCCAGCCCACACTGATGCCCTCAGGCTGGAGAGCCTGATGGGGACCTGGACTGACACCCCCACTCTTCTCATCTGCCTGATCCTCTGCATTGCTCTCTCTGCTCTTGAACTCTACAGCAGCCTCTGGACTCTGGGGAGAAAAGGACTTCTCCCTACAACCCTTGACCTCTCCTCAACCGGCTGTTAGCTCCACCCCAGGAGAATCCTGCCTGGGTCCCTGACCTGACCACCGGGGTCTGAGTGCGTGGGCATCTGCTGGACTCAGAGCCTAAGGCTTGAGACTTTTGATCTGACACTTGAGCTCAGCATGCAGAGGGAATGTCTGTCACGGGCCTGTCATGATTAAGTGTGTTTGCAGTGCTTAGAACTAATCTAGAAATGTTTGTTGTGGTTGGATTCTGTCTATGGCAGTGCCCAGCATTAAGGATTATCATTTTCTTGATTAAAAACCTAAGAGTGAAATTGTATTGAGCGATTTGAGTGAATAAAGCATTGAAAAGGGCAGAGAGCGTGGACATTCTTTATTTCTCCCCCTGGAGTGCATAAGGTGCACCGTTTGCCCATCGTGACACTCATGTGTGTTAGGCAAGTGCTCTACCACTGAGCCACAACCCCAGTCCACATACACTTTTAATAAGATCCCAATGTTAAAAGTTGGATTAAAATATGGTACTTTCTTAAGATAAACTAGCCTTATAAATAGATGTTGGATTGTAGGCTCAGTTCTTGAAAACCCACTGAATTTATCAAGTACCTCCCTCTGGTATTACCTGATTGGTAGGTAGTTTCTAACATGACCAATCAGTACCATTTTACAAGAAAAATATAGATTTTTTTTTGTGTGACTTTGGAAGTAAAGTGGGATTTCTTCTTTTTTAATATTTACTTTTTAGTTTTGAGGTGGACACAATACCTTTATTTTCTTTTTATGTGGTGCTGAGAATTGAACCCAGTGTCTGACGCATGCTAGGTGATCGCTCTACCACTTGAGACACATCCCCCAACCCCAGGGATTTCTTAAACAAGAAGCAAAAAGCATACATTTTATAAAGACCTGGTATCTATGTTCCATTTGACTCCTTGGCATTCAGAGACTGAAAACCAAATCATCATCATCAATCACCCTTCAGCTTTGTAGAATAATTTACTGTGTAACAGCATCTTTCCATGCTCTATTCCATTTATTGCACATAAGAAACCTAGGTTAAGAGGAGATGAAGTGGCACTGTTGCCAAAAGCTTGATCCTTGCACCCAATGCCAATAGAGGGACGCTTTTGAGAAAAAGGAAAAAGAGGGTTGATTGTTTTGCTAGAAAAGGAGAGACACAGGGGACCTCTGTCCCAAAGGCTGATTCTGCCCATTGGGGGGGGAGGGGGGAAGGGGGAGGGGGAGGGGGAGAGGGGGAGGGGGAGGGGAGGAGGAGTGGGGGAAGGGGGGAGGAGGAGTGGGGAAGGGGGGAGGTTTAAAGAGGTGATTGCAAAGATTACCTTCCTTGTGTTCTCAGTCTGAAGTTGTAATTTGCTTGTTAATTTGGGAGCTAGGCATTTCTGAGATCTTCTAGTGCCATCCCCCAGAGTCTGGATGACTTCGTTCCTATGGTGGGTGGGTGCTCAGGGGCAGATAAGTCTGCCTAACAAGGGGAAGAAAGGTAATCCTATTTCCCTTGAGATTAGGGAGGGGCATGGAGAGAGGAAGAGAAAGAAGCATGTTCTTTTAAATAAGTTGCAGTGGCCGAGCAGCAAGGGCTACATTCAAAGCAAGGAGTGGAAAGGTCTCACAGGGCAGAGCTGGGATTTGAACCCTAGGACCCCAAGTGCTCACCTTCACCACCTTCAGCACCCTGACTTCTTGTCCCAGAAACAACTTATCTTGGAAGCACTGATCCCGAAAGAACCGCTCCATTCTTTGCCAGACATCCTTGGATTCTTCCTTCCAATCCTCCTTGGGCTGTGCTTCAGTAAGGCGTCCAGCCTGTCCCCAGGGGTCTCATACAGGTCCGGGGAGGGATTCATCTCTGCAGGGCTAGGATGCACCTTGCAATATATTCTTGGTGCTCCTGCTAGCCCAAGAGGTGCACAGCGTGAGGCGGAGGGGATCTGTCCCACGTGTTTGCAGCTAGAGCTGGAAGACTTCTCCGTGCAACCCAGACTCCTCCCCAAGCGCTGCAGCCAGCCTCCCGCCACACGGGAAAACGAAACTGAGCTTTCTAAAGAAAGGAAACCGAAATTTTGCAGAGATGGAAATTTCTCTAAGGCGGTAAGGAATAATGGTTGGGATATGGGGCCAAGTGCACCACCAACCTCCCTGCAGGATCAGCCTGGGAAGTCCCCAGAGGGTCCTGCTGTGCGCGAGGAGATTCCCCCCACCCCACCACCCCACGCCTACAGGACAGAGACCCGGGTCAGGGGTGCTGCCTGCCTGGGGTGACAGTAGGGCCTGCCTGAGCCTGGGGGGTATTTTGAGCTTCTGGGATTGCCAGAGCTATTTATTTATTTATTTGAGAGAGAATTTTTTAATATTTGAGAGAGAATTTTTTAATATTATTATTATTATTATTATTATTTAGTTCTCAGCGGACACAACATCTTTGTTTGTATGTGGTGCTGAGGATGGAACCCAGTGCCCTGCGCATGCCAGGTGAGCGCGTTACTGCTTGAGCCACATCCACAGCCCCTGAACAGCCTTTTTTGGTGGGGAGGGGGACCAGGGATTGAACTCAGGAGCACTCACTCAGAGCCACATCCCAGCCCTATTTTGTATTTTATTGAGAGACAGTGCCTTGCTCTTGCTGAGGCTGGCTTTGAACTCTTAATCCTCCTGCCTCAGCCTCCCAAACTGCTGGGATGACAGGTGTGCGGCACCGTGTCGGGCTCCTCTGAGCAGTTTTGTACTGCTTAACACCTGAGCTTTGGGGGAAATACTTCATATCTAAACCATAACAATTTTAATGACATTGAACAAATTTTCATGTGCTCCTTGGCCATTTGTGTATCTTCATTTGAGAAAGGTCTGTTAATTTTTAATTGGATTATGTTGTTTGTTCCTGGTGTTCTTGAGTTATCTGAGGGATTTTGCTTTTGCTTTTGTTTTTGGTTCTAGGAATTGAACCCAAGGGTATTTTACACTGAGCGACATCCTCAGCCCCTTTTTTTGAGACAGGGTCTCCCAAGTTGCTGAGGCTGCCCTAACTTGTGATCCTCCTGCCTCAGTCTCCCAAATTGCTGGGGTTACAGGCATATGCACTATGCCCAGCTTGTTTGAGTTTCTTATGTATTTTGGAAATTAATTTTTTGTTAGATAAATTCATCATTTTATCACGTAATGATTGTGTGTATGTGTATATATATCATCTAACATTAATTTCAAAGACATTTTTGAGGGCTTGTGGAGTACCGGGCTCTGTTGTAGATCCTGGGGATATAGCAGCATCTAAGATAGATCTGTGTCTGCCTTCATAGAGTTCACCTAGGAAGGGGAGAGAGAAACAATGTACACATTTTTAAAATGATATTTTTCATCTGTCAGATGGCTACAAACATTCTAGCAAGAACTAACACTGGAAAGGGGGTCAAGGAACACAGAGTGCGTGGCAGGAGGTGAGATTTTAAATAGTGTGACCGTAAAGATGACCATAAAAAGCTTCATTGACAGTGTGAACTTGGATGAAAGCCTGTAGATGGTATAAGGCTTAATTACAAAATAAACATCAGTGAACCTCCCTCCTGTTTTACGAGCTGAAGCATGATCGCTCCTGAAGTTGTGGGGTTTCTTTCGTTTTTAGACTGCTTCTGCCCCATGATGAGACCAGGCTCCTCAAACTTGGATGTGCTCTGACTCTGGGCGGGGGGGGGGGGGGTATTGCCAAAACCCAGGTTTCACTTCAGTGTCGGATTCCGAGATGGGTCTGAGGTTCTGCATCTGCACCCCTGGAGTAGGAAGGGCTAGTCCCCCAGTAGTTAAGAAGGTGGGATCCCCTAGGGGACATGCCCAGCCACACCCCTGATTGGCAGGGGACCCCTGGGGCTTTCTGGGGGAGGAAAGACACCTTCTGCAGGCACCAGAACCCGGGATTCAGACAGGTCCCCACCAGCCCCACGGGCTTGAAGGAGCGGACAGAGGCTGATGGAGGAAGGAAAGGGGTGTCTGAGAGGGAGTCCCAGGAGGAAGCCCCCTGGCAGAGAGGGTCTCCCTGACGGCTGGCTGGAGAGAACAGGGACTGGGGCCAGGAACAAACTGAGCTGGGCTTGGAGTCCGGGTCCTCATTGCCCTGGGTACAGAGGGCTGTGGGGTGAAGACAGGAAGGGAGGCCCAAACAGCTCTGCCAAGGGATCCTCCCCTGGCAGCTCAACAGGAGGTCCTGCAGGCTCTGGCCAGAGTGCCCAGGACAGCAAAAAGCCTCCCAGGGAGCTGGTGGCCCAGTGTGGAAGGCCTGCAGATGGTGTCCAGGGCCCTTCCCTGCAAAGAGCAGTCCTGCTTCTGGACCTGGAGAGCGAGCCCCTGCCTAGAGTCCACAGCCCCTGTCAGATGGCAGGGCCTCTTTGGGGAACTTGGTAAAGGGGACCCTTGGAGAAAACGACTTCCGGCTGGCCTGATGGGGGTGGGGCCCTGTGGCCTCAGGACTGCAGGCGGATGGGCTGCCAACAGGGCCACTTCCCACTGCTCCTCCGTCCCTGTGGGGCACCTCCTCTGTGCTGAGCTCACTCGGATCCAGGTGGACAGTGGATCCAGGTGGACAGTGAGGAGCTCTGCTCAAGAGCTTCTGGGACAGCAGGGGAGATGATGACAGTGGCTGGGAGGGTGGGGCTGAGTGGCCAGGGCACCTTGGTCATTTGTGTCACCCTGAGAAGAGCCCAGGCACAGGGGCTGCATTTGGGCCCCACCCCCAGGATCTGCCTCGTTGGGGTCCCTCTGTCACCTGAGGCTTATCCAGGTGGGCAGGGCCACCTGTGGTCCCTCAGGAAGGAAACGGAGGGGGGGGGGTCACCTAGCAATGAGGCAGAGCGAGTGGGTGTCCTCTGAACTGCGGTGGCGGCCAGCCACGTTGGGATATGCCCTTACCTGCCCAGGGAGGCCCAGGCTCCAGGGCAGGGGTGTCACAGGCACTGTGGAGAGCCACCTGCCACCCAGACTGTTCCCCAGCCCAAGGCCCAGGAACAAGATCTGACCAGAGACATTCATGGAAGTAGGGGCTTGTGACCACAGGGCAGCCTCTGGTTCCTTTCCCCCTCCCCCAGGTGGCCAGGGTGAACCCCCAGGTTCCTTTCTGCCTTTTCCTGTGGGGAAAGGGTGTGGTCCTTGAAGAGTCAGCATTTCTTGGGGGAGTGGCCGGGTGGCAGCTCAGAGACACTTGCTCAAAGAGGCAGCTTCCTGGCCCCAGCACCCTGCCCCTCACCCCCCTCTGCTCTATCTCCCCTCCCCCACCTCCCTCCCTCCCACCCAGGCCCTTCTGTTCTGGGGCTGCCCCATTTCCTTGGATCTGAGGCCTTCTGTCCTGGGATCACCTCTTTACCTGCTCTGGGTTTCAATTTCCTCTTATGGAAAATGGGAAGAAAGACTCCAACACCATGGGGTTTTGGCAAAATTCTCATCCAGCACATATGATTAAGAGGGATGTCGCACTTGAGGCCTGCCTGGGGCCTCCTGAGCACCCAGACAGCAGTCGCTGTTTACCACTTCCATGATTCAAGATCCAGTGTCTGTCCTGCTAGGTGCTAGGGTGCTAGGTGCTAGGGTGCTAGGGATTCAGCTCCCTAAGTGAAAACAGGGCTGGGGCTGGGTGCTTGCCTAGGACGGCCAAAGGTCCTGGGTCCCATCCCCAGCACTGGAAAAAATAAAAAGAAAAGAAAGCTGTCACCCCAGCAGGGTAGCAGATGATGTAAGATAAGGGACATTCAGCACTGGGCACCTTGAAGGTTCTCAGGAAACAGTAGGTCCTCCTCCCTCCCTCCCTGGAGCTGTCTGAGCTCTGCAGATCCTCAGTGCTCACTGACACTACTGCCCTGATGTGATGCGGGTGGCCGAAGAGCAGCAAGCTGCCTGCCAGGTACCGGCCATCTTGGAGTACACCCCCCGGAAAGGCTTCTCTGGGGAGGGGTCCCAAAGAGAAATTTATCAGAAGGGGTAAGCTCCTTCCCTCCACCAACCTGCTCAGCGGGCATCTAAAAACCAGGGCATTAAGCCTTGCCTCCCAGCTGGGTGTGGTGGCCCACGCCTGTCATCCCAGGGGCTCCAGAGACAGGATTTTGCAAGTTCAAAGCCAGCCTCAGCAACAGCGAGGCCCTAAGCCACTGAGGGAGACCCTGTCTCTAAATAAAATACAAAATTGGGCTGGGGATGGGGCTCAGTGGCTGAGTGCCCCTGAGTTCAATCCCCAGTACCAAAAAGGAAGCCTCCCGGTTGTCCTGGGTCAAGCCTGGGCCCCTGAGGGCACCCTTTAAGCCTGACTTTGTGATTTCCACGCCCTATTTCAATATCCAGAATTGCCATTGGGGGAGGTTCATGGATGATGGACCCTTTGATAGGCAAGAAGGGGTACAACCTCAGGCTCCCCACATCTGAACCATTTCTAACAAGTTCTTTCAGGCTCTGGGATAAGTTTGAAATGTTTTCTGTTCTTGGGGAGAGGAACTCAGCAAGGGCATAGATTTGTTGCAAAGATGGTTAACTTTTGGGAGGGGATTCTGGGTACAGTCTGCCCAAGACCACACAGCTAGCAAGTGACGGAATGGTGTCACCCACTAGATGAAGCAGGAGGGACAAGGGAGTCCTGAGTGCTAACACAGAGATACCAGCAGGAAGTGCTGTTTTACCAGAGGGGGTTTCAATCCCGACTGGACATTGGAGCCTTCAGGGACCCAGCATCAGACATAGATTCCAGTCCCTCTGGTTACAGCTATTGATCTAGTAGGTGGGCATCGAGTCCACATTGTTCATAGTTCTCAAATGATTCTGATATTGTGGATTGGAAACTACCACCCTGGCCCGAGCAGGGGTTTTGAGGGCTCTCCCCTCCTCCCATCTCCAAGTGTTTTCCCAGAAGACTCTAGAATCTGAACCACCTTGGAGACTTGGGGGTGGGGGGGTGAAGGGGAGCAAGCACAGGGCAGTATCATCAGGTTTCAAATCCTGTGTGACCTTGGACAGATGCTTTGGTTTTTCAGGGCTTCAATTTCCCCAGCTTATACCTGGGGAATTTAAAAGGTTAACTCATGTAAGGGTATGGTGTGTCTGGATAACTCAGTCAGGATAACCATGCCTTGGATAACCATGGTTACAACCATAACAGTTATAAAATCTGAACAAAATAAAACACAACAAGATCCCCAATGATTTGAAGGCACTGGGGAACATGAACTGCAGAACTGTGGGGTGGTTAACACTTGAAAGCTAGGAACGCCACTGGGTGCCTTTCATCCAAGGGCACTCTAATTTGTGTGGCAGGTGAGGATGTATAGAGAGTTGTAGTCTTTTTCTTTTCTTTTATTTTTTTCATACCAGAGATTGAACTCAGGAGTATTTAATCACGGAGCCACATTCCCAGACCTTTTTTATATTTTATTTAGAGACAGGGTTTTGCTGAGTTGCTTAGCACCTCACTAAGTTGCTGAGGCTGGCTTTGAACTCGCGATTCTCCTGCCTCAGCCTCCCAAGCCCCTGGGATGACAGGGTTGCACCACTGTGCCCAGCCCCAGCCCTTTTTATTTTTTATTTTGAGACAGGTCTTTCTAAGTTGCTGAGTCTGGCCTCCAAATTGTGATCCTCCTGCCTTAGCCTCCTGAGTCATAGGAATATAGGTGTGTGCCACTGTGCCTGCTGAAAGTTGTACTCACAATGGTTTCTGGTGTCATGAGTAGAGTTCTAGACAAGAAGAATGGCTAAAAAATTAAGGGAGAGGTTCCTGAAAGAAATAAACTGTAAAGCAAATGAGTCACAAAATATTTATGTAAACTCTGTCCAAACTCTTGGTTGTTACTCACACATAGGAGGTTCCAGAAATTCCAGTAAGCTCAGTAGCTTGGAAGCTGGAAGAACTGGTGGAAATTCAGCCACTGCTGTCTCCAATGGAAATAGTTTGGAGTTTGAGTTCAGCCAAGTAAATTGCCTGCTAGAACAAAAGGAATGCTCTTGAGAGGAATATAACGGAATCCAGGGTCTCTACAATGTACCCTTGACAGTGACCGGCACAGAATAATCCAGACCAGACATACGGAGAAACAGAAAACTAATCATACTCACAACCCACGAAGAGAAAGAGTGAGGTTCCAGATGTCAGAATCAGTAACAAGGGTTTTAAAACAATTCTTAACGTCTTCAAGGCCTTAATGGAAACTCAGTCAAAATGAAGGAGAACAGATGTGGATCCTCAGAACAAAAACTATGAAAAACAAGGTGGAAATTCTAGAACCGAAAAGTAAAATAACCTGAAATGAAAAATGCACAAAATAGTAGGATGAAGATGGCAAAGAATGAATGTGAAGACAGTTCAGTGGAGATGATTCATTTTTTAAAGAGTAAAGGGAGAAAAAATAGATAGTTAAACCAAGCTTATGAACCTGTGAGGCAGCATTAAAAGATCTGCACGCCACATGCAATTTGAATTTTAGAAGAGAATGGAGCACAAAAATATTTGAAGTATTGACTGATTTCTCCAATTTCTTCAGTCAAATTTGTAAGCTCAGAGATCCTGGTGATTGCTGGATGCAGTGGCACACACCGATAATCCCATCCGCTCAGGAGGCTGAGGTAGGAGGATCACAAGTTCAAGGCCAGTCTAAGCAACTCTGTGAGACCTTGTCTCAAAATAAAACGTAAAAAGGGGTAGGGATGTGGCTCCGTGGTAGAGCCCTTGCCCAGCATGTGTGAAGCCCTGGGTTCAATCCTCAGCACCACACACACACTCACACACACACAGCTCACTGAAGCCCAAGCAGATAAAAACACAAAGCCAACCTTGCCTAGGCACGCCCTAGTCAAACTGCCGAAATCCCCAGATAGAAAAATCCTGAAAACGGAAGGGCTTGTAGCTCTGTGGCTGAGTGTTGGTCTAGCTCGCATGAGATCCTGCTTTTGATTCCTGACGCTGAAATAAGATCTTGAAAACATCTAGAAAAAAAATGACTCATTATAAACAGAATAATGACAAGTGACAGCTGGCTTCTCGTTGCCAACAATGAAGGTTGGAACCCACTGGATTGACACTGAGGCGGGGGAGGGGGAAGGCCAACTCTCAAGAGAGATCATAGCTACATCCGGGGAAACTGTCCTTCAAAAATGAAGCCAAAATAGAGACCTTAGCAATAAGCAGAAACTGATTTGTCACCAGAAGATCTGCATAAAACAAAAACCAAGAAAGTTCATCTGGCTGAGGGGGAATGACACCAGGTGACAACTCAGGTTGAGACATCATTACCCTAGGGATACCCATGACTGCACATGTGGTGGGACTGTCTACCGCCCACAACCAGAGACATGAAGAGTCCTGCCGCATTTGTGTACAATGAGGCGAAACGAGTTCTGCTATCTTGTATAACTAGTTAGAACAAATTAAAAAAAAAAAGAAAATTCAGGTTGATGAAATGTAATGAAAAACATTCGAAATGGTAAATATGTGAATAAACATTTTTAAAACTTCACATTTTTTTTTCTTCTCTTGATTTTATGAAGAGATATGTGACTATTGAAAGGCTAAAATCATGATGTACTGTAGGTTTTTTTTTTTTTTTTAAAGAGAGAGAGAGAAAGAGAGAGAATAGAGAATCTTAATATTTGTTTTTTAGTTTTCGGCGGACACACATCTTTGTTTGTATGTGGTGCTGAAGATCGAACCCCGACCGCACACATGCCAGGTGAGTGCGCTACCGCTTGAGCCACATCCCCAGCCCTACTGTGGAGTTTATAGCAAGATCAATGTGATTTATAGAATAAGAATGGCCAAAAAGGTGGGAGTGGAGATAGACGGCACTATACCAGTTCAAAGTTTCTATACTTCATATGAAATGGCCCAATATCAATTTGTTGAGCTAAAGATTCATGAGATTCGTTCTTACTACAGCAGCCAACTACAAAACGTTTAAAGAGGATATAACTAAAAAGAGAGAAAAAGAAAGAAGACTAATCAAAGAATTAAAATGTCATTGCCCAAAATAGGGTTAGGAAAGGAGAAACAGAACAACACAACTAAAGATGGAACAGCCAGGCGCAGTGCTGCACACCTATAATCCTAGTAGCTCTGGAGGCTGAGGCAAGAGGATCGCAAGCTGAAAGCCAGCCTCAGCAATGGCGAGGTCCTGAGCAACTCAGTGAGACCTTGTCTCTAAATAAAATATTAAAAGGGAGTGGGGTTGGGGCTCAGTGGCCGAGCGAGTGCCCCTGAGTTCAATCCCTGGTACCCACCCCCCGAAAAAAGATGGAAC